TGGTTGTTCTCTTTCCCTCACAGCCAATTAGCTCTGAGTTTTTATTTATACCTTGCAGCTGCATGTATGACATGGGATTTAGCAGAATCAGGCAAGAACTTCATCACTACAATTGTCAATGGATCTGATCTGGTCCCAACATTCTCTGCTTCTTCGGTTGATGGCCTCCGTTCTGAGGTATGTCATCCGCTCTGCCTTTACACTTTGGTCAACACTTTATGTTTTTCCTTCTTCCTGTCCGCCATCAACTTGTAAGTTCCTTGCTCTGTATTGTAGGAATATATTGCGTACCCTGGTTAAAAAAAATATGCAAAGTGTGTGAGTTTAATCAGATATTATTATTACTGCCTTGTAGATATGTATAGAGGTATCTTCATGTTATTGGGCTTTCTTGCAACATTTAAGTCTTTTCTGATTCTTCCTGTCGAATGCAAAATCCTTATTGCGTTTATAACTTGCTCAGATTCATTCTCGTAATTGTAATTTCCCATGCTCAGATTCATTCACAAAAAGGAATCATGTTTTATTATTGGCAGGTCACGTCATCTTCCTGGTTGAACGATCTGCGGGATCAGGTTGAACACACCAGAGTACTTAATGTTGTTTATCGTTCTGCAACCGCCATAGGATCTCGTCTTCCATCTTTAGCGACTGCGAAAGCCAGAGTTGCTGGTGCTGGGGCACTTTTACGGCCCGTCTCAAGCGGCACTCAGGTATTTACATTACATGTTTGGCCAATGCACTATAAACATATTATCCATGTATCATTCTGCAAAAAAAAATTTAACTTTTTCGCGGGCAAAGATATATGTATATATATAGTTTCTTTGGGGATGTTTCTTCATCATAATGAAGAAGATAATGATGATGATGATGAGTAAAAATTTTGTACAGGTCATGATAAAGCGTGCCCAGGATGTTGCACAAGCCGTTGTACAGACTCGTTCTTCAATATCTTCATGGGCATGCATGGGACCACGGCGTCGGGCGATTAGCTCCCAACTGAACACTAAAGTCACCGACGTGCCTGAAGGCTCCTCCTCTGTTATTTCCGAGAGAAGAAGCACAGAAGCTCTTGTGTCTGAAACGGTGGCGAGGGAACAAAAAGGTCTCAAGCGAATGGAGCAACAACGTTTGTCGTGCAGCAGTGGATCTGGACATGAATACCCAGAAGAAGAAGATGATGACGATGATGAAGGTGAAGAAGAAGAGGAACCTTTGATCTCAATTAGGAGAGTGATGACGGAATCATCGTCTGCGATGGAAGACGTGACAGGAGATGAACTCTGGGACGTGTTGGAGAAAGAGCTGAAGCGGCAGGAGAATGAGAGGGACATCGAGGCGCGTGAGGAAGAGGCTGCTGCTGCTAAGGAGATAACGGAAGAGGAGACTGAAATCGTGGTCGGGGCAGGAGACTCGTCGGGGCAGAGTCACAGCCCAGCTTCGGCCACATCCACAGACATGGCAGAGAACCAGCGGTTCTACCCTCCAGGTAAGATCATGCACATTGTCTCGGTGTCTGAATCTGAGTCGGAATCCGAAACGGAAACGGAAACGGAATCGGAGTCCGAAACAAGGGGTAGGGTAGAAGAGGGAGACAGCAGGAGGAGGAGGAGGCGGAGGGTGGAACGAGTGAGAATATATGAGACGCCTAGGGAACTGTACAGTAAGATTAGGCTGTCGAGAACAATGATAAACGACCATTACATGCCAATGTACAAAAAGATGATGGAACTCTTACTCTCTGAATTGGAGAGGGAATCTTACTAAGTTCCCATCTCTCTCTCTCTCTCTCTCATTCATTATGTGTATATTACAAATAATATCTTTTATATATATATGTATATATATTGATATACACAAAAATAAATGCAGAAGCAAAGTTTCACTGTTTTGGGTGCCAGCTCAGCTCTGTATTTGTTTCCTTCAATTTAGTAAAAATCCATTTTGCTTAAAATTACTGGATTTTGAGGTTTTAGAAAAACAGAAACATTGCTTATATCTCTCTATATACACACACACACACACACACACACACACGTATATAACGACGAGTACATTAAAAAATTGTATGTATATGGATGGGTACGTGGTTGATTTTTGTGGGGTCAAGCATATGAGTTAGGGTTTAGGGGTGAAAGAAGAGGCAGAGAGCAGAAATGTCATCCATGGCGACGTCTCTCCTCTTCTTCTGCCAAAGCCGAGTAGCTCTCTTCACCAATCTCTTCGCCGACTTTGTCCTGTCTGTAACCGAACCCACCACTATCTCTACTGCTTCCTCGTTTGACATCACATCCCATACCTGAATATATATATATATATATATATATGTATGTATGTTGTATCAAATTAATGAAATAGCTGGTCCATACATATGAGAAATTTTGATACTTCATTAATACACATACCCCATCAGTGGCCAGTATCAGAAATTGGTCCTTGTCGGTTATCTCTCGGTACGTTACATCCGGTTTGGAGATCAAACCGAAATCCTTGAGACAGTAATCTCCAAAAGCCCTTGAAACGGCTAAACCGGGTGAATCTCGGTTTGGCATGCACATCCGGTATATCCCCGGTTCATCTTCTCGGCACAACACTCTTCCCTCCGATTTCTTTATTCGTTCTGCTTCCTCTGATCCACCAAACACGCACATTACAAGCTTAATTCGAATTCTCCAAATATTTATACAATCTTTCTTTCTATTTTGATGCTTGGTTTTTCGAAGAAGGATAGAAAGATAGACTGTACCGGGAATGTTCGGTTTAAAGTCTACCGAGAGCTGAACCGGCACCAAACCGTAACCAAATCCCGAATTCGTTGCAATTACTGCCCGTGAATCACCAGCGTTTGCTATAACAAGATGGTTGCCCTAATACAAAAAAAAAACAAAGATTTTAGTCTGAATATGTATATGTATATGTATATGTATATGTATATGTATATGTATATGTATATGTATATGTATGAAACAAGGGTATAATGAAAACGTACCTGAAGGACAGCGGAGAGAGCGGTGCAACCACTGCGGTAAGAATCAATGGACGGAAGGAGTTTAAGGTGAAGATCGACGGCTGAGAATGCTTTCAGGTAAGATTCCTTCCATATATCGAACGGAGAAGAATATTCCGGCGACGAAGACAGGATCTGTTGCCAATGGCACAACAGAGAAGATGGAAAAGACCTTTTCACCCTTTTGGCTATAACATGCCCCCATGGTCCATGCCCATCATACATCCCACAGAATATTATGTCATCTTGGCATCCAAATCCCTACATACATACGTAGTTTTAACAAAACAAAAAAAATCCCTACATACATACACATACACACAATAATACACACACACACACATACATACATACATACATACATACATACATACATACATACATACATACATACATACATGCACACATGAGACTAATATTACATATATATATATATAAGGATATGAATTACAAGTGATTGTATGTATATACCTCCCAGACAATAGCACGATCTTGGTTAATCCCTTTTTCTCCTCTCTGAGAAAAGACAGAAGCGAATCTCTTGGAACATTCCGACCGGACAGTGCCTGAAGAACAAGCAGTTGCCTTCTTCTTTGCCTCTTTCGCCATCTCTTCTGCTATATATTTTCCTCTCTCCTCTTCCATTATATTCTTTCTTCTCTTCATGGACGCATTTCTTGCAAGTCCGTCCAAAAACGACGGTAAAAACACCATTTTTTTTGGTAAAATCAAGGGTTCTTCTTCCTGCAACATAAATTCACCATCTTTGTTATATATATATATATATATATATATATATATAGAGAGAGAGAGAGAGAGGGATTACGATGTTTTGGTTACAGATGTTATGGAGTTGATGTTTCATAACAAAGGATGTGGAATTCTTTTGATATATATTAGGTTGCAAGAAGAACATGTTTATATGTACGTATGCATATATATACTATATATGGTTATAAGTATAAACATGCATATATATATATATATATGCGTGTGTATACCAAATCTGTGTTATATTAGAAGAAACGAATCGGAGATTTTGGATTACCGGTGGATCTTTTGGTCGGACCTTTGAGATAGCCGAAGCCTTAATTATATTTCTCGGAGAATCTGCCTGTTTTGCCCTTCCTTGGTTCCGAATATTACGGGAATGGCATCTCCTGCACCATGATCCCCTAGGTTTTTCCTCTCTGCACTCTCTGAAGACTAGACTCTCTTATATATATACATGTATATATATACATGTTTATGCTTTATGCATATAGATGCACGACATTCGTAAAGTGTATCTATCGTTTATATATATATATATAATTATATATGATGTTACACCACAACTTACTTTACGGGCTTTTTTAAAATGAGATATATTTATGTTTTTTAACCCGGAAATGTGCTTGTAATTGAATTTGGCAGATATGTGGAAAAGGGTATTTGCGTCATTTTTCGGTCAACCCGTGTATAGGGGGAACGTCAGCGGCAGTAATTAACCAATCGATTTCATTTTAGCATTGAATTTTGATAAATAATAAATATAAGAAGTAAGACCGACAATTAACAAATTAGTTGGGTTAATACCTCATTATGATAGTGATATATATATATATATAAACAAAATGTTTATGATTAGTGTGGACAGGAATTAACTAATCAGATAGAATATAAAATGATATCTTGTGGGTTTTGTTATAAAACGAAATAAAGTTGTGGCTGTGAGAGGCTCCCGAATCTAAAAGCTAATGGTAAGTGCGTCTGTCCAAATCTACTCCTTTTTTTAAATTACTGTTGTCAAATGATCCATATATATGTAATCATAACGCATGTACTTAAAAAAGTATGTAAATATTTGAATATATATATATAAGCAACCTCCTTAATTATATATAATTTCTGTTCGTCTAAACATCTACAAATCGAATACATAAGCACTTACATAAACATGCATGCCTTTTATAAACGTGTATATACACGCATAGATGTATCTAGACCATATATATGCATTTAGAGGGGAAATAATCTTTACATGTATGCATGCATGCAGATGTATGTATATGTATGTATGTATGTATGTATGTATGTATGTATGTATGTATGTATGTATGTATGTATGTAGTGCACTTGGCTATATCATTAGGTGGTCCGAAGACAAATATAATGCTTACAGCATTAGATTTAATCAAAGCTTTGAATAATTAAAACTATGTTCGTCACTTGGCTATATCATTAGGTGGTCCGAAGACAAATATAATGCTTACAGCATTAGATTTAATCAAAGCTTTGAATAATTAAAACTATGTTCGTATTTAGGTGGATGCTACAATAATAAGGTTCATTAGATTCGAAGTGATAATATAAACTATTTGCATTTGCTAAATGCATGGTCACAATTTAACCCATCAACATACGTCCGTGGCCACTATGGGACAAATCATTACAAACCAAATATATATATATCAAAAATCAAAGTACCCATATTCCATATTCAGATAAAATTTACTATGTTATATATAACTGATACATGATTATTAGGTTACGATATTGAATTATAATTATATGATGAAATTATTAGTGACCCTTTTAACAAAAAAAAATTTATTAGTGACCCAACAAGGATGCAATTAGGAGAGAGAGAGAGAGAGAGAGAGAGAGAGAGAGAGAGAGAGATGTTTGATTGGAGGCAATGAGAGAGACAAGACTCATGGAGAACATGGCCTCGTGGGTCTCTCGACGACATTATATTCTCTGTTCCTAAAGTAATTACAAATCATATGTTGACAATTCCTATTTCCTGATTTTCCTTGTCACTATCAAAATGACATTATGTACTTTGTTTTCATGAATTCAATTCAAGTATCAAGCCAAACGCTCGTTTTTTTAGTAATAGATCGCAATATAATTATATGCGTAAAATGTAGTATCTAATTATAATTGATGAAATTATCATATAAATACGAGTGAATAACATATTAAATCGTGCAAATAAATAATCAGGTAATGGTACAGAGGATGCATTTAAGTAACCAAATACACGAAACGCAAGCGACTGGCAAATATGCGTTGGGAAACCGCAAACGCGGAGCATATACTCAAACGCGCGTTTCATCACCAAACCACCGGTTTCATCTCTACCACACGAAAATAATATTTTTCTTAAAAAAAAAAGAGACAAAACTGATAGTTCCATTCCAAGGCAGTGTGAGATCCCAGGCGTCAAAACATGAAAATCTATCCAACGGAGAAAGAACCATTCTTCTTCTACAATGAAAACTCAACCAGGGGGCAAAAATATTATCCAATCCAATCTAACCTCAGAGGATCAATTGCAAATTTTTCGCACAAATCACTTCTTGGACTTCTTCGCTCCCCTGCAGAGAACGATACAAAGATATGGGTCACTCGGCCATGACTGAAACTATGTTCAATTCTCAAGTTCAGTGGGTGACAAAACATAAGTGTAACAGAGAAGAAATAACACGTTTCCTATCATACTCCTTCCTAGTTCAGTTCAAAATCTCTATCACTACCACCTGGTAACTCACTAACTGAATACAGACAAACCCAGATACCCAAAAAAGGAAAGAGAGATGGGTTTCTTACTCTGCCTGTTGAGGTGCTGATGCGGCTGTTGCTTTCTCTCCAGGTCCCTATAAATGCCGAAAACATAAGCAAGAACCAAACTAATGTTTACAAACCAAACAAGAAGATGGATTTTATTGCAATCAACCCTACAACCCACTAAAAAAGGGCATATGGTTCTCATTGGTGTGTTTTGCAATTTTACCTGAGCCAAACGCTCCTCCCTTCTGGCCAACTTTCTCTCCCTGCTAGCCTTGTTCTTAGCACGCTTGGCCTCAAACTGGTCAGAGAGCGTCTTTTCTCTTGCCTTCTCAGCCTTCGACTTGTGGATGCTCTCCATGAGGACTCGCTTGTTCTTGAACACGTTACCTTTCACCTTCATGTACATGTCATGGTACATGTGCTTGTCAATCTTTTTGGCCTCACGGTACTTTCTCAGCAAACGCCTCAACACCCTCATTCTCCGCATCCACAGAATCTTGGTCGGCAGCCTTGCCTCCCTTGTACCCTTTCTCTTACCTGAAAGCCATAGGTAACTTTTCCCTTAAGATTCTGTAATTATATATATCACTCAGGCGATTCTCCTAAGAGACGGTCTCTAACCAAGGTAGCCCATCAAAAGACTGAGTTAACAAAGTAGATGAGTTCCAATCAAAAGATCTTACCATATCCGGAGTGACGACCCTTCCTCTTGGCCTCCTTCATCCTCCTCGCACGAGAACGTGAGTGGATCTTGGTGGGCTTCCTGATGATGAAACCATCCTTAACCAGCTTTCTGATGTTCTGCCCTGTTACAGGCGTCCCCAGGAAAAAGGGATTACGAATTATCTCAAACTCTCTGTAGCATTAAAACACCAAGAGAACCCTAAAGATCCAGATGCCTAGCTGGTTCGTCAATGTGGCAGGAAGGCCGATTAACACGGTAGAGCAGAATTACAAGGAAAACGATGGCAACAGGATCAACTCCTTTATTTAATTGCTAGACAGTTCAAATACATTGGATTGGAAGCAAGGAACTAAGTATAAGGTCCTTGATGCTTGTCCTGGTGGCTATAAACAACAGTTTCTTAACTCACTGCCAAACCATCGTATATAGATAAATACAGTTGTATATCCGGAAAAACACGCAAGTCAATACACATACATGAGTCTATTCATAGATCCCAAATTTATCTTTCAGACGGCCTGCATACCCACCACATGATGAGCATCGAATCCTAATTCGTCAAATTACGGTGACCCAACAAAACAACCAGTATCATATTAAAGAAAGCAATCTAATTTCCCTCAACATTAGAAAATGCAATTCCGAAATGAGCTCTCCCGTTCTAATTCATCAACACAATCTATTTTCTCACGAAGCACATTAAAACAAGAACCAAACTCGGAAATGAATTTCCCGAAAAATCGGATTATACCCAAAAAAACGTTGAAAGGGAGAGCGAGAACAGAACAACGTACTAGAATTGGCCATGGAAATCTCGCTAACTTCATTGGGATCCAACCAAACTTTTCCCTTTCCACATTTGAGCACGCTTGCGGCAAGCCGCTTCTGAAGCTTCAGCGACACCATGGCTCCGTCTCCCCGCCTCTCTCCGTTAGGGTTTCGTCTGGCAAAAGGGATAAAACGGCGACGGGTTATAAAACGAGGATGATGAGTTTTAGGGTTTTTAGATCACGCGTCGCTCCCTCTGCTTAAGTTAGAGGTTTCTAAGTTGGGCCACACTAGACCCGGCCCTTTTAGTAATTCAACGGCCCAAAAGGGCCCATCAACTTCTCGTCCCCCGTTGCATGTCAATCAGTTTTTTTTTTTCAAATAGGTATTGTTAATGCAAGAAAGTGATTGTGTTAATAACCAAATTCTACAAAAAAAAAAACTATGAAAAATAAAATATTTTATAATATAGTATATGCTATAGTTTATTTTTCAAAAATGAACACGAATACGTGTGCAAGCAAGTACATCATCATAGATAATATAATATATAGATTACAATAAATGATTAGTCGAGTAATAGTGTTACAAATACACGTTTGATTAAATATATCATATTTAATATTGAAAGTGAGACGAAGAGAAGATTGCAAACAAATTAAGATTATTGCTAAATGGGTAGGGACCCACGCATGGAGGAGGTTCATGCATCTTAAATTCCATAATATTAAATTTGCCCCACCAATCTCGCCTTTAGTAATTAATAAAAATAATTTCGAAAACAATATACTTGACATAATTTATCAAGCAAATAACTTAAGTGTTTTATACCATAAGGTACAGCCCATGACAAGACCATAGTTGCGGATATTATTCTCATGTTATTACCAAAAGTTAATTTGTGATTATTCCGCATTTCAATTAAAATATTCTTATTATTAAAATGATCTATTCGAAAATTTTTTATTAAAAAAATAAGGTTAATTATATTTTCTATATTATAATTTGTGTATTTTTAGGTTAATAACATTTATTAGGCTTTTACATAGAAGATAAATACACGTCGAAAAATTTACCACAATATGTGATATTTCCTATAAATGAATATCTATGAATAGACGTACGTTGGCATTGATTTCGCTGACGTGTCGCTCTAGATGCATGCGTGAGATTTTTTTAAGTCGATACAATACACCAAAATAGGATATTCATAAAATTAGATGAAATTTAGAAATGATGTATATTATAGTGTCCAAAGATAAACTATAATCGAAACCGAAACTATATATATGTATTGAAAAATAAAATAAAATACATAAGTAAAAATGTAATAATTATATAGATCCGAGGTCAACATCTTAATCATATTCTTTGTACGCTGTAATTTTCGTTTCGTACGAAGGTGGTGACATGCGCTGCTATTTGTAGACAATGACGGTCGAGTTTATCGTATCATTCCGTGATTTTTTTACTCGTCAATAATTTAAATTAACCGTATAATATTATGATTTAATTATATTTTCCAAAAATATATATTATTTGTTTTGACTGATACATTTTTCATATATGCAAAAGATCCAAAGTTAAGCAAATACAATTGAAAGCATAGTAAAGTTAACAACTTTTGCACACATTAATTTCATTATACATTTGGTCTAGGTTTTTTTGGGCAGAAACGTTAATATAATTTAATTGCAATCCATGAACTCGGATTAAAAGTGTATCTAATTTAAAAATGCAATAAGTTCGATTATAAATAAATATCCAAACTTATTTATTTTATCAATTTTTTATTTGTTGATTGATTTTGCGTGCGTATATACACAAGGAAATGTCGACATCATAGAAATAGGTTCTTTAATAAAACCAAACGAAACATCAATAATATCAAATATCTAATCGGAAAATAAAAACAGAATATGTGTGTACTAATGGCAATGTCGACACATTTGCTTTTAAATGACATGAATTTATTCGAGATTTTGTATTAACTTATTATTATATTGACGGCAGTTAAATGGGATTAGTTCAGAGTATTTTCAGTATATAAAAAAAATATACTTACAGTAAAAATTATAAAATTATGATATATATAATATATATATATATATCCAGGTTTTCCATTAAACATAAATTTGAAACCACAAAAGCGCAAACCACAACACAGCGTTCAATTACAACAGCGACGAAACACACTTCTACTAAACCATAACGGAACAGTTATAATAAATATTACCATCGCTTTTATTTAATTTCACTCTTTTTTATTTTAATTATTATAATTATTTAACACAAGTACCTGCCATGGCCCATGACGTCATCGAGCATCCACTGGTCGGCTCCACCTCCCCCGAGCTGACTCGGCTGGCCCGCCGTCGCGCCGTCGAGCTCTAGGAAAGACTCCAGGCTCGATATCTGCTGCCTCAGGTCGTAATCCGGGTCGACCCGGAAACCCGGATCGAGAAACTCGGTCGGGAAACTCGGCCGGTTCAACTCGGAACCGCAGTGTCTCTTCGCCGGAGGCTCGGCGGCGAAGTTGAGCTTGGCCTTGTCGCCGCGGATGCGTTTCGCGGCGGAGTCGTAGGCCATGGCGGCTTCCTCCGCCGTGTTGAATGTCCCGAGCCATACTCTGACGCCTTTCCGGGGATCTCTTATCTCCGCCGCCCATTTCCCCCATGGCCGCTGCCTTATTCCTCTGTACATGTTCTTCCTCGTCCGCCGTCGCTCCGACGCCTCCGGAGGCTTCTCCGGCGCCGGAGACGCCGTGTTATTCGCCACCGCCGCTTCTTCTTTCCGACGAGTTTAAAAACCACGAATTTAACCCCATAAAGAGCGATTGATTACAACAAAAACAAAAAAAAGGCAAATATAATTTCAAATCATTTTCCTACTTTTGGATTGTTCAAATCATCGGAGACTATAATTTCGCATATTTATTTTCATGGTGACCAAAAAAAAGTAAAAAAAAGTAAAAAAAGGCTGAATTTTTATCTACGAAAAGGTTAAAAAAATCGTTTTTTAAAAAACCCAAAGATTTGAATAATATAATAACCGAGTGGACACTGAAATCAATATCATCCGATTCCATATCTGTTTTTGTCTTCAGACAACCCATGCATGCGATATCATAAATAAAGACATGATTTTTATGACTATCAAATCTAGAGAGAGAGAGAGAGAGAACCATGGTTGACGGGTTCAGGCTTGGAGGAAGAACCGAAGCTCCAGAAGTCGCCGGCGGAGGCGTCGAGCTCCGACCAGAGCTCCTCCACCGTCAATTTCCGGCCCTTTGTGACGAGAGGGGCAAAATCGGAAATTATTGCACCGCCACACATTTTCTCTCCCTGAAGAGACTGCTAGGAGACGCATTTATAGAGGGAAATAAATTGCCTTTATGATATAAAGTTCTGTATGCGATTAAAATGGTCCACATCGTTATAATATTATTATTTTCTTCTCAATCGACGGTTACAACCAAGTATGGACAAAATTATAACCTTTGCCCCTGCAAAAAAAAAAAAACGCTTATTCTTATATTGGAGATTTTATTTTTATTAATCGAAATTGGAGTGTTACTTAATAATTAGGTAAATATTGGGCATTTTCTTTCTTTGATTGATGAGTCATATCCTTAATTACCCGTAATTAAATTATGGAGATTAGTTATGAAATTAAAGATCTATCACTAGCGTTCAATTATCATTTTATCATATGCATATTCCGTATTTAGATGATATGTTTTGTTCAATAAATTTTAAAATAGTGTATATTTAACTACCAAATATTTTATATACGTTACACAACTCACATTTATCCGACGACACCTATGTCATGGTTCACACTTGCAATACAGTTTACAGTAATTTAATAATAAAATAGATCATAAATACTTTCTATTAATCGGCGTTTATTTTCAATCATAGTTTTAGTAGCATGTAGATTTTCTATTTTTTTCCTCATTATAATTTTAAACATACAAAAGGACTACAATAACCTCCAATATACACGTTTTCTTTAAATTTTTATAATTAAAATTACACATATTCTTTCTTCATTAATTAGGATAATTTATCTGCCAAAATATTGGATCGAAATGCTAAAACTATATTTTTAAGTGACAAAAAAAAAACCAAAATTCAAATCCAAGTCGGAAAACAAACTTCACAAAACAGCAAAGAAGAACATTCTTAGACCTTTTAATGAAAAAAAACAAAACAAAACAAAGCACACAAGAAGAAACAGACATGAAGCAACGCCATCAAGATATAGGTTCTTGTATCAAAACCGTTTGGTTACTAACGTTAAGTGTCTGAGAATGTAATGAACTCGGAGACACACTTCACCAGAAATGCAAAGCAGATCCATAAGCACACTTGAAGAAGAAACAATAGAGAAAGAATGTAAAGGAGGTGAGGTGCCAGTTCTTGCATATATATATATATATATATAGAGAGAGAGAGAGAGAGAGAGAGAGAGATTACTGTGAAGTTTTCAGGAACTTGGCCCTTTGGGTCGGAATTCCGATCACTCGGCCATCTTTGTTAAGCGGTGGATGGTGCTTCTGGCCACCCTGTTGCCCGGATCGATCTTTAGAACCATCCTTAGATCTTCTGCCCCGAGTTTGTACTTCTCCATGCTCTCATACAAGAGCGCCCGTTGCACGAGAACCGATGCATTCTTCTCATCTTGTTCAAGAACCTGCAACCATCACAAAATATACAAACTTTCAGCCTTGTCTGGAGTTTTTACTGAAACCCTGGTCCCAAAACTGTGATTGAAAATTGGCAGAAAATTTAAAAGAAAAGCACCAAGAATGGGACTGGTGTGTGTGTGTGCATCTATGTATACCAAGCTTTTAACATCAAGCAAACTTGAAAGCAATCCCAAAAATTGTCAGCTTTACCCACTGAGACGAAATTCGAAATTCTAAATTTCGTTTCACAAAGTGTCACCCTTCCATACAAAATGTTACTCATTATATGAATTTTATTTCGTACAACAGAGTTCTAGCGGTTATACACAAATCATCAAAACCAAGATGCAGAAGCAAAGAACCAGTTAAAAGTTCAGTAATGCTAAGATCACAAGAACCAAGAGAAGCATCCTAAGACAAATGTTCCATTTATGTGAAAGAACAATACCGGAATATAGATCAATACCTTTGTACAGTCGGCGACCGCCTTCTTGTATTCTCCGACTTCTTTGTAACACGAAGCCCTAATGGACAGGACCTCAGCTGTCCCGGCCTGATCCCCGGCTTTCTCCATAAGAATCACGGCCCAAGAGAGCCACTTTATGGCATCGGCATATTGACCCTGCTTCTGGTTATCAATACCCTTTGACTTAGCCGATGTGGCCGATACCCCTGCAGGAGGAGGAGGCAATCCATCAAGCTCAGTGGTGGATCCACCACCCGAATCAGCGGCATTGTCAAAACCCTCAAATCCCCAATCATCAGGCTGCGATGTGGCAGGTGCAGCCGCTGTGGAAGAAGAGAACATCCCCAGAGGATCATCGCTGGAAGACTGAGCTTGAGAAGGAAAACCGCTTTTTGGCATCCCAAAATCGATGTTAGGATCATTGAAGCTATTAGCATTTGAACTGAAACCACCGGACGGGAAAGCGGAGGTGCTGCTCGATTTAGGGGCGTTCTGAAATTCCCCGAAGCTGTCTGTTTTCTCACTCGATGCTGCGAAACCATTGCCATTTGCATTGAACGCTCCGGATTGAGATGAGCTCTGAAAATCCCCAAAACCATCACTTTGCACATTGGCCTTAGTAGTTTTGGCTCCAGAACCGATATTTCCCGAAGGTTTTGATCCGAAATCGACCAAAGAACCAAAGGGATCACCATTTGAACGCAGACCTAACCCGCTTACATTGCTGCCAGCCATATTTTTCATTGTAGGACCTCCGAGATTCGGAGTCTTACTGCTATTATTAGCATTCACACCGAAATTACTACCACCGGAGCTATTGCCATAACCCCAATTCGCACCAGTTCTCCCAGAATTACCGGATTTGGGCAACGAATCGGCCAAATTCCCCATCGAGTACGAGCTTTTGTTCGAACCTGGAGCCGAAGTAGGCGTAGCGTTCTTCAATGGCACATTTCCGGTGGATTTGCCCTGACCTATCGCGGAGGTCACCAGATCTCCAAACAAGGTCGGGTCTTTGTTCACGATCCCAATACCTGAACCCGATCCGGAAGACGAGCCCCACGTTTTCCCGAAAATATCACCCACCATGGAAGAGGGTCCGCTTCCGATCTCGGATCGGGCCGTCGCCTGCTTCGGAGCGGGTTGATGGGTCCACGAGGGCTTCCCGGGTTGCCATGCGGGCCTCGGATGCGAATTCGAGCTCGAATACGGAGAGGGTTGGCTCTTCTGATCTTTAAGAGATCTGCCTTGGTTCGATCCGAGCCCGAGATCGAAATTGAAGCTGTTCATCGACCCAGATGATCCCTTTCCGTAGTTCGAATTCATGGTTTTTCAAAAAAGAAAAAAAAAACGGAATCAAAGCGCAAATGTTCGATTGATGAGACAATACCCACTAGGATCCGGGTCGGATCGAAACGCACTCTTCGGAAATCCGACCGCAGTAGAATCTCGGGCAGGCGAGGGTAAGAATCCAGCAATCTCGCGATCTCTGAAAATGGCGATGTGATCAAGGATGGATTTTTAGTAAAAGAAAACTTCGCAAAATAACCCCATCTTCTTACATTCAATTCAATAAAACCCCCATATTATTTTGTAATTACAAAATTCCACAATAAAAATATGCTTGCACAAACCCCCCTGTAAACCATTTTGTAGATGTATTAATAAAACGTAGTACACTATGGTAGATTTTTTTGCCTCTTTTGTATATGCCCATCAATTTCTTTTAGTTTTATATATTTATTCCGTAATCATGATTATCTAAAATTATACAAGTAGTATTTTTTCTATGAATACAAGGACATATAAGTAAGTACATACGAGCCCATATGCGTATAGATTATTTATTTTCTTTTATAATACGCATATGGATTGATTACAAAGCACATTTACATAATTCATAAGCACTCTTAGTAAAAGCTTATATGTTCAAAAGCATATCTAAATGCCACCAATAAAAAAAAAAAAGCAGACACAAACACTTCGAGTTGCGACGTTTATTACAACAGCCAACGTTGGTGAGTGTTTGGTCTGCACTCGCGCCAAAACTACAAAAGAAGCAAACTTTTACTATGATCCAAATTTACCCATCTAAATTCTTACGTTCATCTTCCCTTTGTACATCCCGTCGGCCTCTTTGAACTTGATCTTTTCGTTTTTGGCATCGAGCTGTGAATGAAAATGCCGAGCCGATTCGGTAGTGTGGGGAAGAACTTGTTCTTTCACGATTGAGCTATTTGGGCATTGGTAGACGAACAAGTTGGCGTCTGTAGATGTGGTTACAGTCTCTTTGACGGTAAAAATTTGTGGACCGTGGTAAACGTAGGAATTCAGATTTGTACGGGAAGAAAGACATGGACTAGGAGGAGTTACCGTCGGAATTTTATTGTGTAATGCGTAGAATCCTTCTTGTTCTTTCATGGCGAGGCAATTCTTTTGAGTTAATGCCATGTTTTGAGAGAGAGAGAGAGAGAGAGAGAAGTTTGTGTTCGTGATGCTTCGTTGGCTTGGTTTCAAGGCTAACGTAAAAGGGCTTTATATATATATATATATAGGCAGTTGGCTACCGGAGAATCAAGCGATAAATTAATAAGTTAATTATGTAGGCCTTTTTTTAAAAAATAAATAAGAATTAGAGTATTATCCGAAGTGTGTGTTATTTCGGTTTGGATTATCTAAAATTGAATGGAGTTAAATTGAGTAATATATAATGGTATTCGAGTTGAAATTTTGTCTAAAAGTCCAATTGGATATGACTTTAATTAAACTAAATTAATCGAATTCAAACTGAATTTGTACTTAAAAAATTTTCTAAAAAGAACTTTTTAGAAAATAATTATTTTCTTAATAAAATTGAATATAAACAAAACACAAACACAATACGAACCGAACAAAAAGTAAATATAAAACTTAATTAAAAAATTTTGCTAAACCAAAATTAATTGAACGGAAACCCCAAATATTGACCCCATCCATCGGACAAGTATCCTCCAAAAACAGATATTTTAGAGAAAACTAAATGAATAAATGGACAATCAATGTAATATTTGGTTTGTCGCTTTTATTTTGCCGTGATAAGTTAAATTCTCGTTCGTTTAAAAGAATTGTTAATCGATTAAAATTTGATTAATTAATGCTCAATTCTGTTTCCATTTAAATAATAATAGTGAGCAACATAAGCAGAAATTAAGAAATCCCACTTAAAATCGCGGGACCTAGCTATAGGATACGATCTCATGTTATTTATTTATTTATTTTTATTTTTGTAATTAGGGGACTTGATAAACTTATACTGTAATAGTACATAAGTTTTGGACGGGTTATGTGGGCATATGGAATGGAGGGTAGACCAAGTAAATTTTGCATAATAATGGAATGAACTTTTTTGTGGTGGAGCAATTTGAGGGGATAAGCATCATATGCCTACCTATCAATATATTCCAAAATTAAGGGAATATATATATTTCTTCAATAATACTTTTAATGATTTTTATTTCATAAAAAAGTTTTGTGTTTGTGACCCAAATTTCTATTTATGTTGGTCCGAAAATTTATCACTAATATATTCTCAAGGTTGACACTATACAATTAACTTAATTGGAAAAGATAATTCTTCGGTTAAACATTATTAGCATTTTGTTATTACACGGGCCATCTGCTCTCGTTTTTCATGCACGTTGCTTAACAATATAATCTAACTTCCATATATATATATATATATAGGTACTATATGAATTTACTTTTAGTTTTTTGGTTCTTTTTGGCTGCAAGTTCCATCTATTTTGTTCCCACGGCTTTACGAAAATGCTAATATTATAAAAAGAATTATTTAACTGCAAGAGAATATTTGAATCATATCGACAAACCCTTTTGGAAATATTACCATATGGTCATATATATATATATATATATATATATATATATATCTATGGGGTTTATCTATCTAAAACAATTTTTTATGTTGGAGCTAATATTATAAAAAGAATTATTTAACTGCAAGAGAATATTTGAATCATATCGACAAACCCTTTTGGAAATATTACCATATGGTCATATATATATATATATATATATATATATATATCCATGGGGTTTATCTATCTAAAACATAATTTTTAATGCTGGATGCGTGTCTCCGGTTTTTTTTTTTTTTGTGGAAAAAGAATCTCCCCAATTGCTTGGGCAAGAAGGGAGCGAGAATCCCCTTCATAGGTTAAAAGCAATGTCCAACCGAACAAAAGCATATCTTAGGGTTCTCAATTATTTGGATTCCTCTATATCCATTGCCTGCCACATCGATCATTTATCTGTATGCATCGTATGTATGTGTATATATGTATATATGTGTATTTTACGTATCCATGCATGCATGTCTACGCATAATCATTTATTTGTATATTTCGAGCGCATGGAGATACATACACATACATGCATTTATTGTGCAAGATTTTAAAAACAAAACCATATCTTATCGGAAATATGACGAGTTTAGTTTCAATGAAATTTATATACCACAATGTTTTCTATTTGGTCTAGATTTATATAATCCACGGGCATCTTTTGCAAAAACTAATAAAACCTCGGATCCATATAACATAATCACATTTTGATACCATGTTACGAATTAATGCATTCTTATTATAGATAATCAAATGAGTTTAAATATACAATGTTAATTATTACCTATCACTAGATTCCTAATTCTCATCACAATATGATAGAAGTACATATAAATCTAAATCAACTAGGAAACACATTAATATTTAAATTTTATATGAACTCAAACTCTTCCTATTTTCCAATATATTGATATGGTATAGTTCGTTTTGAAATGTTACAAATATTTTTCGTATTTTGGACAGAAGAATAAGGTTATGAATCTCTTGGTAGAATATATTGTCCGAATTTGGATCGCGTTGTAGCCATTCCAACTTTCTTATATTAAATATTAATAAGTTCTGTAAAAGAAAAAGTATGCATAGATATGGAAGAAGAATAAAATTTAGGACCGGTTCTCAATCTTCATGTCCAATCCAGATATCCTTTTAATACTTAATTACGATTGGAATTATTAGAATCATGTAACATAAAAAAAAAAGTGGAAGATTCAAATTTAAAAATGAAATAAGATCATATCTTCCATTATTCCTACTTCAAAAACGATATGTGAACAAATGTTCCCTTTTTCTTAAAAAAAATAAAATTAACTCAAGATATTTATAGGAAAAGGCGATTCAATAATTTCCAAAAGCACAAAAGAAACTCTTTATATAAATAATAATAAATTAATTTATGATTCTTCACAAAGAGAAGGAAATAATTTATATCCCATATAAAAAGACTGATAAATAAAACTAAAAACGATGCATTATATTATTATTATTATTATTATTATTATTATTGTTATTATTGTTATTATTATTATTATTATTATTATAGACCGTGAGCTCAATTTTTCGGATTTTACAATGAGTTTTTTTTTGTACGAATGTGATTATAATATTTACCAAAAATGGTGTTTACAAATCAGTCTCTGGCTGCAACCCAAACAATAGTTCGTGACTGTAGAGTCCTATCTAAAAACAGGCAACAACAACTAATTACTGGAGCACATTTTCAACAATTCAAAAATACAAACCATAACACTCATGATCCACATAGGAAGTACCAGTCCCGCAACATAATGTTACTAGTATCGTATCTCCCCTTTTGAGTGGAGAGAAAGTTATCTCGAATCAAGTTACCGATCTGAATGCACATCGTGTGAGTCGTTCTCCTCTTTCCTGCAAAGATTCTGTGATCATTGCGTTCTCGCCAGATTTGATACACAAGTACCTGGGTAATAAGTCGAACAATGAGGTAGCAGTTGTGTCATTGATTTTACAATGAGTTCAAACCATCGTTTAGCATATTTATGGGTATGTCATTGATTTTCTACACATACACACACATATATACATATACATACATATATGCATGTGAGTACATATATATACACACGCAAAGAGACAAACTTGCATGTATATGTAGTAGCTTTTCTATCGGATGAGGTTTTGAATAGAAGAGGATTCCAAGACCGTCAAACCGTCCATCACCATGAATCTGCAAAGAAGATAGACAATTAGACATTGAGGGAATTAGATAGATTCTTTGATTCCCTCCAGCCCGCGTGTATTATATATATATATATATATTCATTTTAACACGATTCATTATACATTAAATATTTTAAAAATACATTCGATCTCCTATCCTAATATCACAACTAGTTAAAGAACTATGTGATGCATCACCAAACAACTTCGGATTTGTTTTTTTTTTAATTTGAAAGAGGCTCTTATAAAGACTTAGCAAATTGAATACTGATATACTCAAACATATATGTGTTTATATATTTCGTACTCGCATGAATCATTAAAAAAATTATCAAATTCGTTATTATTTGTGATATGTAATTAATTAATGGTAAAACCCTTTCCAAGGAATAATAGGTGCAAACGGATAATCCAAACGAAAGAATAAGAATAACATAAGAGAGAGAGAGAGAGAGAGAGAGAGAGAGAGAGAGAGAGAGAGAGAGAGAGAGAGAACCTCTTTTTTCTCTATAAAAGCCCATCATCTTTCTATCCATAATCAACTCTCCAAAACAATCAAGCTAATTAGACCCACAAATTTTTTTTTTTAAAAACCCACATATTTCTTATCTTCTTTAGCTCTTGCAAAAAAAAAAACGCTCTTTGTTCAAATGGCGATGGCCCAAATCGATCGCCACATGAGGATAGCAGAAGAAGCTTTCGCTATGGTTGACAAATTCTACGGTAAGACCCCCCGGACGAACCCTAAACCTAACCCTAATCCGATCAGAGACCGATTCAACAAGCCTATCGAGCGAGCCATCAACTGCGACGACGCGTTTCGCCGCTTCGGAGGGGTGCTTATAAAGGAATTCCGCAATTAGGGGGGCGAAATCGGGTTATAGTAAAAGATGGGGGGTATAACTTTATAAAAACGTGATAGTTTCTAGCTTTGTTAAAAAGTTAAGACCAACACATATATATGCTTCTTGTAACATATATATATATATATATTGTGAAGCTTGAAGTGAAGGGTTTTCTTTTTTCACTTGGAATAAGCTTTAGAAGCGAAAGTGTTTGAGTCTGTTTTGTAGCACACACGTGCTTTTAAGTTAAAAGCTTTGTTCAGAAAATCTCCTGTCGTTTAATGTAAAATATCTTATAATCGATATATATACGTACTCTCTTTCTATAGATACATGCATACATACACATACATATTTATTGTTTCGTGTGATAATCTCGAATAAAAGCATGCTTACATGTTTAAATTATTTAAAAACTCGTGCGGGGATCAAATATCGCCTTCTATTTTAGTGATCAAATCACTCAATAGCATTCAAGAGGCCGAAAACTTGTTGAATTTAATATAAAAATAAAAAATAAAAATTAAAATAGCTTAATTGATGTAATTATGGGATTAATTATTTGCTAAATTTATATGATGGGCGCCCCGCAACAAAAGCAAAAACCATTAGAAATAAAATTTTTTAAAAATATTTAATTACCTCACGATTTTTTAACGGTAAATAATTAAACAATCTTCATCTCTTTCTCCGTATATAAGCAGCCATTCCCAAGCTCCAATTTTACAAAAAAAATATTTTCATAAAACTTGCCCAAAAAAAAAGAAAAAGAAAATAGGGGCATTTGACATAAAAAAAAATTCGAAAATAAGCCCCGAACTCACATTTCTTAATTAAAAAAAATATAAATATATAAATATTTTTTAAAAATGATGCAATCATCATTAGGAGGGAACGTCGACGGCGGTTACAGCGAGAAGAGGAAGAAGAAGTACGCCGTGATAGTCGGCGTCTCCTCTTTCCTCGTCGTGACGATGTTCATCGGCACCGCCGTGATGTCCTCCGGCTCCGGCGGACACGAGCGGGCGATCAAGGCCGGAAACAAGCTCGTCGTGAAAACGGCGGTGAACGTGATCTGCTCCTCCACGGACTACAAAGAAACCTGCGTCGCGAGCCTCGAGACCGTTCGATCGCCCGATCCGCGGAACCTGATCAAATCGGCGTTCGAATTCGCGATCAAATCGATCCAGAAGGGGATCAATCAGGCGGCGATCGATCTCCGGATGAGGGCGAAATCGGATCGGCGCACGAGAGAGGCGCTGGAGAATTGCGTGGAGCTGATGGAGAATTCGGTGGAGGATCTGAGGAAATCGAACGAGAAATTCGCGGGATTCGCCTTCACGAGACTGCGAGATATCGCGGAAGATCTGGGCGTATGGCTGAGCGGTGCGATCACGTACCAGCAGACGTGTATTGACGGGTTCGAAGGGATCGATAGCGACGCGGCCGAGATCATGGAACGGATCTTCAAGACGGCGCAGCAGCTCACGAGCAACGGACTGGCCATCGCCACTAATCTCGACAATTTGCTCAAGTTTTTCCACATTCCCATCCCTTTTCTCACGGTAACGTTTGCAGTAATACTCAAACTCCGCACAAAACATGAAACCCTACGTCAAGATGATGTCATATATAATATTATTTGAATTTGAATTTGAATTTTTTAGAATGTTAGAGACTTATTTATTATTATTACCTATTTATAGATTAAAAATATAAGTACACAGATTTTTATTTTAATTCATACAAATTTCTAACGTATAAAAATTAAATTGAATTTAAAGATTACGATATCATAATCTTTTGAAATATTATGCGTATAATTAATATATACACACATTAGATAAAATGTTTTTAAAGAGGCCTTTGATGGTTCATTAACAGACGTCGAGAGACAGCACCGACGAAGACAGCATCGAACCGGTCGGACGACAACTAACGGAGTTCCCGGATTGGGTGACGGGCCATTCCCGAAGGCTACTGGCGGAGAAGGGGGGAAGGATAAGGGCAAACGCGGTGGTGGCTAAGGACGGGAGCGGACAGTACAGGACGATAACCGAGGCATTGGCCGCCGTCCCAAAGAATAACGAGAGAAGGTTCGTTATTTACATAAAGAGTGGCGTTTACGCCGAGAATGTTGAACTCACCAAGAAGATGACTCACGTCATGTTCATCGGAGACGGTCCTACTAAGACAATTGTCACCGGAAATCTCAGCTTCCACCCCAACCGTATCAGCACCTATCGCACCTCCACCGTTGGTAAGTGTGTGTATATATGTATATATATGAATATCTATGCATATATTTCTGCCCATATATATGTATAGTTTGAATAAACGGACCAACATTCTATTCTATTACAATTTATTTCGTCGACCCTAAACCGGTTGATCGCTACGTTTTCTCTGATGGGTACGAGTGAAAATGTGATAATGTGAAGCTGTGAACGGAGACTGGTTCATGGCGAAGGACATGGCGTTCGAGAACACAGCAGGGCCGGAGGGGCACCAGGCCGTAGCCCTGCGAGTGTCGGCAGATTACGCGGTGTTCTACAACTGCAGGATGGACGGATACCAGGACACGCTTTACGTCCACACCCACCGCCAGTTCTACCGCGACTGCCGCATCTCAGGCACCATCGATTTCGTCTTTGGCGACGCCAAGGCCGTCTTCCAGAACTGCCAGTTCGTGGTCCGACGTCCCATGGAGAATCAACAGTGCATCGTCACGGCTCAAGGCCGTAAAGACCGCCGTGAAACCACCGGAATCGTCATCCACAAGTCCCGCATCATGGGTGATCCCACATACCTTCCTGTTAAGACCAAGTACGCTAACCCAAAAAAAACCCTAGAAATCCATCACTTCATCCATTTCCATCATTTTTATCTTAAAACTTACGAATTAGTGGTCTTTTGATTATTATTCTCTGATTATAGAATCTAATCGATTACATTTTTGAATAAATAATTTGTGACAACGAACAGGAACAGGGCGTATTTGGGAAGACCGTGGAAAGAATATTCGAGGACAGTGATAATGAACTCGTTGATAGACGACATAATAGACCCAGAAGGATGGATGAAGTGGAACGAGACGTTCGCATTGGACACTCTATACTACGCAGAGTATCAGAATACGGGTCCGGGTTCGGATCAGGCCGGTCGGGTCAGGTGGAACGGCATCCAACACCTCTCCGACTCGGCCGCCACTCAGTACACTCCCGACAATTTCCTACGTGGCAACACTTGGATTCCTAAGACGCGTGTCCCTTATGCCGCCAATTAGATTTGGCCCATTTGTCCTCTCATCGTCCGTGTCTATAACGTGACGTCTCTTACCGTTTGTGTGAGTGTATATCAATCCGGGGAATTGAAGGATTTGTATGTATCATTTTCTGTTTTTTTTTTACGTGAGGAGATTTGTTTATATCGACAATTTAACGATTTTGTATTTGTTATTTTATGAGACAATGATTTTTAGAAATAGGGTTTATGGTCATCTAAACAATTAAAAAAAACATGCAAGCTGGATTGTGAAAAAATAACCAAATAAAATTTATGAAAAATGACTTTTTTTATGAAAAAAATATTATTTTTTGTTTATTCTAGTTAGGGTTTATTGGGAAAGAAACGAGAAGCCATTACCGGATTACACTCCAAAATATGATAAACCCTAAATTCTGATAAAATCAATGCAGGGAAAGGAAACGCGTTTTAAAAACAATCAAATACATTTTTTATTTAACGATAAAATCAAGAAAACCCTTTCCATGTGAAAAAAGGAAACACGGAAGATTGCATTATAAAACCCCCAAAGGCCCCCAGACTCCATTCCACAAAAACTCACTCCATCACCACCATCATTGCGAAAGCAAATTCCGCTCGTAACCCACAAAAGAAAACCTCCATCACTTAACGACGGCGATGTTTACACACACCATCCTTGTTCGCGATTACTATGCCGTGCCATCGTTTTCTCGTTGGCATCCCACCGGCTTTCGCATCGTTTTCAGAGATTCCATAGTACACGTTATAGACACGGACTCCGAGATGTCTTCCGAGCCGGAGTTGGAGTCCGGAAACTTCAGAATCATCGGTTCGAGAAGATTCTCCGAGATCGGCGATGAACGATGACATCACCTCCGAGATTCAGAACTCGGAGTTGTCAAGTCCGGAAACTTCAGAATCGGTTCAAGAAGATTCTCCAAGATCGGCGATGGATGATAATGTTACCTCCGAGATTCGGAACCCGGAGTCCTTCTTCGGTCCCGTCACTCGAAACCGCTACCCGTCGCCGAAAGATATTCCGATTCCGACGTTCTGCCTCAGGGAAAAGATCGACCCTTCAAGCCCACGTTTCGACGGGAAGAAGAAGTAGAAGATTGTTTTATTTGTAACTGTACGATTTGACGAGTCTTTTTTTTTCTTTGCAAGTTTTTAGTTTGGGTCAAAGAATAAGTTGAGACAGGATCTATGTCTTCCTATGTCGTCGTGCATCAATGTCCTTTGGTAATTTTTTCAATAATAAAATTATCTTTCTTTATTTTGTTTCAGTTTCGTCATTTTTTTTATAATAATAATGAAAAATGAACAGAAATTATGGTAGAAATGAGTAGGCTTTATGGTAATTTGACATGGTTGGAATCCAATTATGATGGAAAATCGGAAAATAGAATGACATATTCTATTATCTTGTGTTTTTGTTATTATTTCTTATGAAAGGGAAAAAAATATTTCGCATATGTAGAAGAGAACATTTTAGAAGCCCATATTATCATGTAATATTAATTCTATCTGTTTTTTTTTGGTAAAAAATATTAATTAATTCCATCTGTTATTTATTAGAAAGTATGTTTTCTATTTTTTTTTTACTAAAAGAAAACGCATCTCTAATTTTAACCGTTAGAAAATGGATATAGAAAAAAGTAATATGTGCTTAAATTTTATCAAATTACAGTGTGTAGTTTGTCTTTATTTATTTCATAAAGGATCTCTAAACCCCTTTCCGTGTGAAAGAAACATTAAAAAAGAAAGGCTTATAATTATCGTACCGCTTAAATAATCATCATCATCATCATCATTATCATATCATCATCGTTATCATCATCATACAAGAGGCCTATACGAACTCAAGCCAAGAAGGATCTTAACGTCCATCCCATGGCACGTACCCATTTCATAGAGAAATAATATACAGGAAAAATGACATTTTTCTATACGAACCGTGCAAAATGTGACATTTTCTTACATTAACTTTTAATTTGACAAAAATCTACACCAAATTATGAAAAATGCCAAATCGATACACGAACTACCAGATTTAACTGCAATTTCCTACATCAGTCGAAACGGTGTTAAGTTTTGCTTATTTCCATTAACAGAACGGGTGACGTGTACGGCCACGTGGATAATATTTGCCACGTATACAAGACACGTAAGATTTTTTTTGAAAAAGAAAACCAAGTTTATTTTAATTAAAAAATCCCCAACTTTTATTCAGATCTAGGGTTTTAAAAAATCACATTCATTCTCTCTTCCCCACTCACGATGCTCTCTTCGACCTTCACTCTCTTAAGCTTTGCCCAGATGCCTCTCTCTATCTCGGCGTCACTCTCTGTCACGGTGGCTCTCTCTCTCGCTTTGACTCGCTGGCTCGCCGTCGCTCTGTCGCTCGCCGTTGCTCTCTCTGACGTCGTGTCTCTCTCTCGCATCGTGTCTCTGTCTTCCTCGGCGAGCAGCGACGTTTACTTTCCAACAGACCGAAGGTTCTCTCTCTCTCTATCTCTCTTTATATATATCTCTCTCTCAATCTCTCAGCCTTTAGCATGTGTTTGCTTTGGATCTGTTTGGTCTAGAAATTTTGTCTCCGTCCCGTGTTTCGTGTAGTTACGGTCGATGGTTTCGGTCCATTCTGGTTCTGTGTTGCAACATGTTGATTAATTTTGAGATACAACAGGGATTTATATTCTGTACTGTACGGGTGTTAGAAATTAGGATTTTAGTGAATAATATTCTGTTGGGATTGATTTAGATTAAAGTTATTCTATTGTCTATGATGTTGTAATGTAGATGAGTTATATATCGGATGTAGCATCAAAATCTAGTGGAAGGTCACGTTGGAAGAGAGCAGAAGCAATTCCAAAAAAGGGTTTCCCAGTAGAATGTGAATGCGGAGCTCCTATATCGAGATTTACATCTAAGACGGAAGCTAATCCCGGCCGAGTTTTTTTCCGATGTGCAAGACAAGAGATATATCGAGATTTACAGCAATATTGATGTAGTTTTGAATGTTGATGAAGTGTACATAATTGTTTCAGGGGAGTCAAGCTCATGTTTTCAAATGGGCGGATGAAGCAATGTGCGAAGAAATCGAAGAATTACGTATCCAAAATCTAACTATCCTCCATGCTGCGGAAAAACTGAAGGCCGAAGCTGAACTACTTAAAGGATTTGTGTATAAAACGTTGGCCGCTATCGTAATTCTAGGTGTGGTATGTTTGTATTATTATGTTCTTCCGTGTTTTTGAAGTTCGATGTGAAAAATGTAGTGTATGGATATTTTGATGAATTATGTTGTGTGTCGATCGTTTGGATATGTATGACGGGTAAGGATTTGTATGTGTCGGACATGTTTAAATGAATCAATGTTATTTTGGTATTTATATATTATGTTATTTATTGTGTTTTGTTATGATTAATGTAATCAAAATAGGGTGTATAAATCCACAATAACATATCATATCATTTATCCTTCACATTGACCAATATAACCGAATCACGTAACAAACCCTGAATGTTTTGCAAAAAGACATTACCATGACATGACCAGCATAATACAAGTGAGCCACGTTACAAATAAAATCCCAACAGATGATCAACATAATATAAGTGATCCAGGTTCAAGACAACCAAAAAAAAGGACAAGAAACCATAACCATAAGTTCAAGACAACATCACAGGTAGGCCATCCACGTTACAAAAAAAAATCCGAACCAAAACGCTTGGTCATCAAGTTCCATGAGATTGATCTCCAAGTGATATGCAAGGGAAAATCATGTTAGGAGCCAATTTTCTAGCCACAGTTAATAGGATAAACCTACCCGGCATTACTATTGTTGGAACAATTCACTTGTCTAGGTATAGTGAATGGATGTTGTCGACTTGTTGTACTTCCGATATTGGTAGACGACATCCCGAGGAGAAGACGACGTCTATTGTTCAAAGGCATCCCAGATTGTACGGTCTGACTCGATTGAATTGGAATAATACTCCCTATAAAAAAACTGCATTAGGTATTTGTTTTATAACCCGAAATATGTAACCACTAACTGATTTAAAAACACCTTCAGCGGAGTTAAGACTTTGGGTTGGAGGTTCATTGGATGCCAATGGTCCTTGTTGACTCCGTTTACGTGGTGCATTGCTCGTCAACCGTTGTGCATTGTTCGTCGACCGTGGTGTATTGCTGCTCGATGCTTCATCCTATACAAGCACGTCATAATCAATAATGCGTTTGAGATCCTTAAACTGTTTCTTCCAATTGGCAAAGACATGTCGAGTACACATTCGGTGTTCGGCCAATGGTAATTCCTTTTGTACAGCATTCAATAATCCCTATCAAAACACATATAATTAGGATAAAAGTTACATAAAGAGTAAACTACAAATTAAGTACGAACACATTACCTTTTGTCTGTCGGACAATATTGTCAAGTTACGTCCATCACCTAATCCCAAATCTAATTTCAATTTTCGGATGAACCAATTCCACGATTCAATACTTTCAACCCGAACTACAGCCCATGCTATAGGGTACATTCCGTTATTTGCATCCCTTCCGACAGCGGCTAACAATTCCCCTTTCATTTCCCATTTCAAGAAGCAACCATCTAAACCAATTACAGGTCGACAATGGTTTTTCCATGTGTCCCGCAGAAATTCAAAACTTACGTAGTAGAAACTGTGAAAGACTTGGGTACCCGTCTTAACTATTTTTGTCGTGACCTCGGTTGTTGTATTCAGGTTTGACCTACGCAATTCTAATTCATAGTCCCAAAGCTTAGCAATCTGAACAGAGGGATCTTCCATGACCATTTTCAACGCCATACGCCTAGCCTTAAAACACTTACTGATTGGGACGTTCACATCATGATCTTCTAGAATTGCAATCTGCAACTTTTCAGCTTTCCAATCTGGTTCTCTCCTAAACCTCTCTGCATATTCCTTTGCAATTTGTCTCATGGTGAATAAATTAATATATGTATCGGAATCATGGTTGTGTCCATCCTTGTAAATCTTTACCATCCATTTGTTGATGGGAACTTCAACCGAACAGTATACCCTCCAAGGGCAACCTTTCGTACAACATTTAGCACCTACTTTAGTCCTTTCCCACCTATCCATCTTCACATTGAAGTGTTTTTTCAACGCATAATCTAATAAAGCCCTTTTAAATTCGTCCCTCGAATTGAATGTCTTTCCAAGATGCAACAAATCATCTGATGGAAATGCGACTGGCTTTCTCCTAGGCTGATCAACTTCTTGACATTCTTCATCACTACCTTCTGGTGTAAGAGGGATATAACAATCACTATCCAAATACTCATCTGTCGAAACATCATCATCCACTTCATCAACCACAACATCAGATTCTAAACCTACTCTCACTGGGATTTCTTCTACAAAATCATCATCCGAACTACCAAGAGTATCACCTAAACAGGAATCATCATCGTCACTTATTCTACCATCAGAACTAGAATCAACAGCAAAATCAACATCTTCATCACTATTATATCCACCTAAATCTCCAACATAGATTTGATCTCTAGATTCCTCTGCATCAACATTCATATCTCGAGGCAGTTCCTCTTCAACATTAACATCAACAAGTGTATCTCCACAAACTGGTTGTGATAATTGATGCTCCACATAAACATCTAACTCGCCACATTCTCTCGCAAAGCAAATCATATTCTCGAGGTCAATATCCCTGAATTCTTCTCTCACTACCCTCCGATTATCCAAAGATTTAGTCAACTTTTTATACCATAACTCCTTGATATTAGTTCCTAGTTTAAGAAACCTAACATATTCTTCGAAGAAGAACCATGATATCTTATCAATATCAACTACAACTTCTACTGGTTCGAGCCCACCCAAGTAATATACTCTGCCTTCTGATTCGTCGAACTCACCTCCCATGAAGATATTCAGTCGAACTCAACTGCAAATCAAACCACATGAGATCATTATAGGAAGTAGAACATCATTTTAGCAATTTCAAACTCATATTCTTATGATTGCTTTTCAAGTTCATCCAAACCCAGCTATAATTTCTATGGTAACATCAAACAGAAACAATGCTTTGTCTTAAGCTATTACCTCATTTTCGCAGGTTTCCTGTGTCAAGCTTCGGAGTTTATCAAGCTTCTTACAGTTGGAGCTTAATGCAGAACCTACAAAATCATAACTAATTAATCCGAAACAGTGAGGAAAATGAGGAATTCGAAGACAGAGTCACTGACACATAACGATTCCACACAAACAAAGAGAGGGGAAAACTACCTACGAATGACAAGAACACGGACTACAGACGCTGGAGAGAGATAGAGACGAGAGAGCGAGCCAGCCACGACAAGCCACGACGAGTATTTACGACGACACAGAGAGCAGCGGCGATTCCAGACGCTGCGAGAGAGACAACCACGGCGACAGATACAGAAGCACGTCGTCAGAGAGAGTAACGACGTCCGACACAGTGACGACGACCCAGAGAGTCACAGCGACAAAGAGAGAGGCACGACGGGAGAGAGTGACGGAGAGAGAGAGTGTGACATATGGGCAAGAGAGAGTATCGTGTGAGTGTGGAAGAATCGCACGAAAACCCTAATCCCAAATCATTTTGGGGATTTTTTTTTAAAAAAATTGGGGATTTTTTAATTAAAATAAACTTGGGTTTTTTTTTTCAAAAAAAATCTTACGTGTCTTGTATACGTGGCAAATATTATCCACATGGCCGTACACGTCACCCGTTCTGTTAACGGAAATCAGCTAAACTTAACACCGTTTCGACTGATGTAGGAAATTGCAGTTAAATCCGGTAGTTCGTGTATCGATTTGGCATTTCTCATAATTTGGTGTAATTTTTTGTCAAATTAAAAGTTAATGTAGGAAAATGTCACATTTTGCACCGTTCGTGTAGAAAAATGTCATTTTCCCTAATATATATAATCGAGAAAGCATTTTTATATCCGGCTTCTATGGACAGAAAATAATGCCCACATGGAATAAACAGTAAATAAAAGTTATCGAAAAAGAAAGTTGTCAAATAAAGTTATTTTATTTGATTCCTCGTCAGTTGGCAGGGGTGGACGTTTCGTAATTTTAGCGGTTCATGCACGATTTATTTCATATTTTAAAATTTATATCAAATTAGTATAGTATATTATTCGGTTCATTTTGGTTTCGGTTTCGCTGTGGTTGGATTTCGGTTTTGTTAAAAAAAAATAGATTTTTTTAAAAGAAATTTTTGATTTTAGAAAATTTTATAAAATTCGGTTCGATTTGTTTCGGTGGCAGGAAATTCGATTCTATTAAAAAAAATATATCAATCGCTAATTATGGATGATACGGTTCAAAAAAAAAACATCGAAACAAAACGTCCACCCTATTCTTTGACTCGTGGCCGATTATTTATTGATGCATAATACACATATGAAATAATAAATGCAATTCGACTAACATTTGAACATATTTATATTCACATCTCAATATCTCATAATAAAAAAAATTAAAATTAATTCGGAAACATAATATAGAGTTTTCATTCCCTCGATCTGCATCATTATATTTCCTTCGGTTCGCGTTATTTCTATGAATTTTTTCAAAAAGGAAAAAAAAAATATTAACGTGAAAAAAGTATAACTTAGCAAACATGGATTACTTTATATATGCAAACTACCTATACAAAAGCCACGTTATTGGCATGATAGTTATATTCCATTTTTATATTCCTATATATATATATATATTCATACATTAATTTTATCTATTCATACTAATTTATATTTGGAAAAAAAAATGTTTCGTGAGAAACGTTACCTTTTAAAAAAACCGTGGTTGATTTGGTAAATCTCGTCTCGTCGGACACATATTTCCTTTCTATAACGTTATCCTTATTTGGCATCGTAAATCCATGCCGTTCTTCTGTAGATTGTTCTCATCAAGAGCCAGAAATCATATTTCCTCGAGATTCCGACATTTTCTCGGGAAACAAACAGAACCCACGACCCATTCCTCTCCAAACCGCCATAACCTTCGTCCCTTCTCCACCTCTCCAATGGCGGATCTCGGCGTTGCACATCGGAACCTCCACGTCAACGGCATAAGCATGCACGTGGCCGAGAAACCCGGCGTCGACGGCGCGTCGGCGAACGCGCCGGTGATACTATTCCTCCACGGGTTCCCGGAGTTATGGTACACGTGGCGGCACCAGATCGAGGCGCTGTCGTCGCTCGGATACCGTACGGTCGCGCCTGATCTACGCGGGTACGGAGACACCGACGCGCCTGAGAGCGTGGAGGACTACACCTACTTCCACGTCGTCGGAGACATCGTGGCTCTGATCGACGCCGTCACCGGAGGCGACGCGCCGGTGTTTGTGGTGGGCCATGACTGGGGAGCGATGATCGCGTGGCAGTTGTGTCTGTATCGACCGGATAAAGTGAAAGCTCTGGTGAACATATACTCTGCCTTCTGATTCGTCGAACTCACCTCCCATGAAGATATTCAGAATCAAAATAGGGTGTATAAATCCACAATAACATATCATATCATTTATCCTTCACATTGACCAATATAACCGAATCACGTAACAAACCCTGAATGTTTTGCAAAAAGACATTACCATGACATGACCAGCATAATACAAGTGAGCCACGTTACAAATAAAATCCCAACAGATGATCAACATAATATAAGTGATCCAGGTTCAAGACAACCAAAAAAAAGGACAAGAAACCATAACCATAAGTTCAATGATTATTACATCTGTAGATTTCAGGTAACCCTCACACACCGTGCTGCTTCCTACTGGGTGGTCAATCTGTTAACTGTTCAGTTCGGTGTTTTATTAGGGTTTGTAATAAAAAAAAAAACATGCAGGAAAATGGAGGAATAGAGGCAGAGTTCGAAGAGTTCGGAAGTGAGAGAGTGTTGAAAGAGATTCTGACGTACAAAACGCCGAGGCCTTTGCTGATGCCTAAAGGCAAAATCTTCGAGCGGCCAAAGAACGCTGCGATTGCGTTGCCGCCATGGCTGTCGGAACGAGATTTAGCTTATTACGTGTCTAAGTACGAGAAGAGAGGCTTCACCGGAGGCATTAACTACTACAGGAACATTGACAGGCATGTCCTCAACTTCTGATTCCAGCCCACAACAAATTCGTGTCTGTATGCATACATATATCCGGAATTGGACGAACCCATCAACGTGCATTTTTTTAAAAAAATTTATGTATTAGATCCCATAGTCGTTTACACGATCTCCTCCGAAAAATGTAGAAACTGGGAACTGACGGCGCCATGGACGGGAGCTAAGATAAGGGTGCCAGTGAAATTCATGGTGGGAGATCAAGATTTGACTTACCTCTCTCCCGGAACCAAAGAGTACATCCATGGCGGCGGTCTGAAGAGGGACGTCCCGTTGCTCGAAGAAGCCGTCGTGATGGAAGGTTTGGGTCATTTCCTCCACGAGGAATGTCCCGACCGTATCAATCTTCACATTCATGATTTCTTCAGAAAATTTCTTTAAACTGTGAAATGATTCCAACGTGTGTTTTTTCCATTTCATGATCTGTTCTTCAATATTTGTCTCTCTCATGAATAATAAACGATGTCTTTTGGACCGCTTTGATATAAGTGTAATGAAAAATCGTTATAATTGAAGAACCTAACGAACACAATTGGTTCCTGAATCTATTTTAATTCGTAATAAAATCGCAAAGAACTACACAACCCATTATTTTTATTTAAATTTTTGTAAAAGGGATGAAAAATAAATCTTATCTGGGCCATGGGAATTCAATGGGCCCGAATAGGCCCATACACAGGCCCAACAACGACGTGCATTATGCAGAGAGAGAGAGAGAGAGAGAGAGAGAGAGAGAGAGAGAGAGAGAGAGAGAGAGAGAATTAGTTGAAAGGGTGAGGGCGCCTACCGACATCGAAGTGAACTTCAGAGAAACCAGTGATCCCAGCTGTTACCTTTTGTCCTACCTTCACGGGTCCAACACCTTCCGGTGTACCTTTTTTCATTCATCATTTTATACCAATCAGATTCCAAATTTATTCCTATTTTGTTTTTTTTTTCAACTTCTTTAAAATTAAAAAAGAAACCCATCAGAGTTTCGTTTTCACATGTTCATTGTTTGGATTGCAATGTATCCTCTATAGCCTGACTAATCAGATTCCTGTTCATCCACATAATTCCAAGTTCTCAGCTTCAGTTTATTATATACCGGATGGCAATATCCATCTACCTGCAAACTTGAATGTTGTTCATTCTATTCTGTACAGTATGATTTATCTCGAAAAAGGATAAGAGACGTATCGGTGTACCTGTCAAGATGACATCTCCCTCGAAAAGGGTCATGACAGAACTAATGTAGCTGATCAGAAACGGAATCTTGAAGATCATATCCTTGGTCGAACCCTTCTGTTTCATCTCGTCATCGACCTGTCACGAAAATATATTCAGCTTTCTGGCAATAGAACATGAAAAATGGCGACCCCCTGAGGAGAAAGTGGGCGAAACCTTTAGCCAGAGCTCCAGATTGTTGGGGTCTGGCACCATCGCCGTTGGCAGCTGATACAAGTTCAGATATCAGAAGAAGTTTTGGTTCTCATACAAACATCAACTCAATCAGACATACAAGATATTAAGTGCAACTTCGGTTAAGATATGTGATTAGACAGGACGGGGAGAAAAGGCATTGGATAAAAAAGAATTACATTAGTTCTAAGATGGTGAGGCAAGAGGCTTCAGATAAATACTTACAACAGAGCTTATAGGGGTGAAAGTGTCCTGTCCTTTGGCAAGTGTCCATGGTAGACCAGATGCCTAAAAAACAAATATATATACACACCCTCCAGTGTAAGTGACATATGATTAAGAAAAAGGAAACAAAAGTTCAAATTTTATGACAAAAATCCAAAGGGTGCCAAGAGTCCAAGACTTTGACAAGGGGAATTGATGTTTTGAAACAAGGAAATCAGTCGAAAACAGGGGACCAGGATTATAACATGAGACTAGTTAATTGCGGATACTGGAAAAGTGGAAAGTTCTGCAAAGGGCTTATGAAGACAAAATTGAAAGAAAGAGACCACAAGAATATAAGAAAATCAAAAGGAACATGCAAATCATAAAATGAAATCCTATAGACATCGAATGGATTTCTACCTTAGCAGAAGCTTGGATTTCCCTAGCAGTCATATCAAGAGCAACCGCATATCCTAGGGAACAAGAAAAACTGGAAACCATAAGAACAAAACACTATGCACAGACCATTTGCAGAGAAAAATTATGTTAGAATTCGGAAGACAGATATCAAACAACAACTACATGGTCTCAAAAGTGACAGGAAGGTATAAAATAAACCACAGTCAACATCACGGAACATACCATTACAACTTAAAAAAACTGCATTAGTGCATCCATATGTATATTCCCGTATATTGAAATGAACCTCAAAGTACATTTTTTTCTCTCGCTTGAATACGTTCAGCAGTGATTTCTGCTCTCAGAATTATCAAGAGTGCTGCTTGTGCGCATATATAGGCCTTATATCAATCAAACCAGTTAACTAAACCAAATCAAACAACTAGCAAAGCAATTCAGACAAAAATGAAGAAACTGAAAGAGACAGGGAAACCAAAATACAACCAACATCGACCAAGAAACTAAGTTTGAACAAAAAATTCCATGTTCGAAATGCAATCTACCTCCGATGTAATCCATGGCCATTGCTTCAGGTACATCCCTTGCTTTCTCCCCGATAACTACAGCGAGTTCCACCTCATGGTGAAGTGATTCCAGCGGATGTGGGATTTTAATTGTCCCTCCATTTTCCAAGTACGATGATGTTGGCTTTAAGAAGAGAACAGGTTCCTGCTTCGGATCCATTACAATGGAAATATCAGATTAATCTGGATAAACCAACATCAGAGGTTCCAGATAAATGGCAGTTTCTGTATATTTTTCACAAAAAAACAAGCAGAAAACGTAAACGGGGACAGATTTCTGCATCACAAATTCAGATGAAAACTAAGGCAACGTCCTAAACAGATTCCATGGAACACCTAGACACAAACTTTCTCAAGATATCACCAATTTCCCTCTGAGATATCCAATTTCTGTGGAAGCAATCGCAAACGCGAACCCGTCGATTTTAGCAATGGAGCTAGCTCTTGCTCCCGATTGGTGGCACCCAGAACAAAAACGCCGTACTAAGTGATTTACAGGGGAATCCATACGAGAAATTATGAGATTTTCTTCCGTCCACGTCGCGTACTGGGAGTTTCCTCCGTAATTTTCTCGGGAAACAAACATCAGGAGAGGAAGAGAAAAGGAATTGAAGAAGGAAGGAAGCACCTTGGGGACGGCGTTGCCCAGTTCTTTGGCGTGAGCGGCGTAGTTACGGCCGACGCCGACGATCTTCGTGCCTTGCGTGAAGAGCCTCTGAATCATCGATGTCGCCATTTCCGATCGATCCACCACAGTTTTGCTCTTTCTTCTCTCTCCGTCTTTTTTCCTTTTTTCTATTTTTCCTTACCTGGGAGAAGATTGCTGATTTTTTGCAATATGAACCCCCTTCAATCAATTAATTTACTCTTTCACCCACAAAATTTCATTTTCTTCGTTTCAGACCCCAAAAGTTCGAAAAGATTTATATACACACAAAAAATCTCTCAATCACGATTTTAATAACATCTGATCATCATTGAATAGAATCCGATGTAAAAATCGAATGGTTCTGATTTCTCTAGATCGGAAAATTGATTCTGAACTGAACCAATCCGAATAAATAGTTCTGATTTCTCTAAATCGAAAAATTGATTCTGAACTGACCCAATCTGAATAAAAAAATTACTAAAAAATCAAAAAATTATTCGATTTTTTATCAATAAAAGCCTCGAATCAAACTTAAGCCAAAATATAACATAACCGAATCGAACCACATTCGATATAAAAACTGAATGATTAAAATTTTTCTAAAATCAAAATATCGAAACTGAATATAACCAAACCAAAACCTGAGATGACCACCCTTAATCACAAGGTAAAACTTACAAACAAACATAAAAAATTTCAAATCCGTCAAACAAAAGATTCATAAGATTATATCTCTGGAAATGGGACCTAACCTGTATAGACCACCTTGCCTAAAGAAGAACACAACAACAAGGCATACCCAAAACGCCGATTTTCTAAAAGCTAAGTTCAAACATGATAACAGCAAGTGTAACACCAAATATAAACAGTCCAGGTTTGCATGAATGGTTCAATCTCATCTCATGCCGGAATTTGGTGAAGGCATACACACATACATACGTACAAGGACTAACTACAATGTGATCATGGGAACTCAGTGATGAACATTTCGTTTTTTTCTGCTCTTTTTACCGTTCTTCTCGTTCTTGGGTTTTAACCCGACTTGAACAGCAAAACCGCTTTCTGGTCGAGGTAAAAGTACACAAAATGGTTCGTCTCATGTGTTACATATGAACCTGCAAAAACAAAGGGGCATAACGATGAAAGATCATCGATACATTTACCTAATTTGATGGTCTGTGATTTCTATTAGAGTAGCATCATACAAATGAAACGTCATTGATACATTTACAATATCCATTCGCAAATCAGTAAGGATTCAAAGAAGCTAGAAAAGAACAATGCAAATTCGAATAACAGAGACAAAATCTCGCAAACCAGGTATTGCCATCTGGGATATTTTGGTATGAACCATAGTAACGAAAAGTTTATAAGAACGGGGCTTTTACCGAAGTTGCGACCAACGATGCAATGCCAAGTAACTCCATGCTTCTTGTCAAACTCCTTCTTTATATGCTCGGCTATATCCTTCTCCACACTGAACTTCTCAAATGCCTGTGAACGTAACCAAAGAAAACCAGAACATAAACACATTGGATGAAGTTTCCTGGCTGAAACTTGGAAGTATCTGGTTAAAGTTCAAGAAAGTTGAATCAAATGCTTCCCACTATGTTATGAACAACTGAAATTGACACTACACAAGTATAACAGAAGCACAGATCCACAACCTCTACAAAAATGCGGACATGTCGAAGTGGAACACTACCAAAGCTACAGCAGATCGAATCGTATTCCATATCCTTGAAAAATTGACGAAGGAATTCAGACTAGAAACCAAATCTAACTTCAGATAATCCGATGAGATTTAAAAAATGGGGCACATAAACTAAACATACTATAAAATCAAATCGAACTCAACTGCATAAGGATGAGTTAGACCAGATGTTCCGAGGTTCATCACTATGACTTGTACACTAAGATCGAAATCAAAATCCCAAAATTAGAAGAAAACCCAAACAGCAATCAGGGAAAAAAAAGATAAATAAAAAGAAGGACTTAGAGAGAGTGAGAGAAGCCTAACGGAGATGGCGATGTCGATAGCCTCCTTCTGCATACCCTCCTTCATGTCGGCACTTTTGATGACCGCTTTCTTCATCGGCGGGGAAGCAGGATTCAAAGAAAGTAAGCTCGCTGCTGTCTCCAGTGGCGGAGGTGCGGATCTCCGATCATCGGAGATACTTTTCGCCGCCGTAGCTCCGTAGATGCCCTTCTTCCTCAGCCCCTCGCTCATTTTTCTCTTCAATGATTTTCCCTTTTTTTTAAAAACAATTACTATTTTTTTCCCAGATGAAGAGACGAAGAGCAGCACACAGTACATTGCACACTAACGGCACGCATGAAACGATGTCGTTCTCTTAATGTTTCCAAAATTATATTCAATTCCCCATATTCTTGAAATTGTCACAGAGAGCCCAATGGTTGTACCACTACCGCAATACATCGTCTATTTACCATAATTCTGAAGGTAGTACAGCTAGGACACTTATTTTATAACATACATATTTTAAAAAACCGTATAATACGACCGTTCAACGTATTATTTTTATTTGAGAAACGTCTTTGCTACCATTGAAAATAGCTTAGAGTTAGATAAATTTAGGTTAAAATAGTAATATTCAAAAACTATGAGGTGTATTTTGTGAAATGGTGTAAGATGGCCTCGTTCGGGAATCATTTGGGCCATATATGGGCTGAATATGGTCCACAAAGCATGTAACTTCTTAACTCATATCCAAGATTGTCCAGTCAGGCCCATAATCAAATGCATGAGGCATTTTACTATTTTTAAAGAAAAATGTCTAAAAACAAAAATACTATTATACTAATATAATATCTAAATAAATATCAAAATTTTCTTAGTAGTTAAACAAACATTGAATTTGATTTTGGTCATCAATTGAACATTATTTATGTACTCTTGTCAACCATGTACATAAAAATTAAAATATTTCTACGGAAAAAAAAATTGAAATAGTTCTACCAAATCAAATATATTTGTGTTATCATTTACGGACCACAAAAATAATAGAAATTTAAAATCATTACATCCGTTAAAGTCAACATGCCATAATGAAGTTACCAGAAGAAATGTGTCGGAAAAAGTTTTGATTATTAAATATAATGAGAAATATATGGTAATCTTTTAATAAGGGGCTGGAATGGAAAAAATGTAAAATGTTGGGGTCAGTTGTGAAAGCACGTGATTCATACCCCGACGTGAGCTTTCAAGCAAATCGCTATAATGATGCCATCAAACGGGCCGATATTAAATAAATTTAAAAAATCACTCCACGTTATCCACAAATTGTTTTAGATAACCTTTTATTATTATCTATTACAATTAATATCTTATCTTTTACATTTAGTTGATTTTGCACATAAATAGATTCAAAATGTAATAGTTAAATTTTTTAAAAAATCGTATAACTATTGTTGTATGATTTTTTTTCTCTTATAAAATCGTATGCTCATAATTATACATATACTCATGCATACCTATTTGAACTCTAACACGTTACGATCATATAACCACAGATTTTGTAATGGATTTCAAAGATTTACGTTATTGGAATTAACAACCATCTATATTCTATATTTATGTATATTGTTTAATTTTTAAACAACCTGAACCGTCATTATTCAGATAATTGAACTACAAATCTTGACAATCCGACAATCACCGTGTTTACCGTCCACGTTTTGTATTTAAGTAACTAAATCTTTTTTGTTAAAAAAAAATTAAACCCATGATTAAATCGATATTATAGATTATAAAAGTCAGCAATTAGCAGAAAATGAAAAGAAATATCCAACAGGAAAAAGTAGAATACGGTAAGCACGACTGTACTTTGGGTTGACATCACATGGCACATGCTGTAGAAAAATAAAATGCGGAAATAAAATAAGACAAATAGAAAGAAACGAAATTACTTTTATTGCTACATCTCTTCTTCTTCTGGTTACATTATAATGAAAATGAACTACATATTTATAGGAAAATTAAGAAATAGAGTAAAAAGGAAATATAGACACAATGGAAACAAATCAGATACACAATATTTGGTATAATGATATTGTATCCATTATTATTCTCCATCATATCTCTAATCTTATTTTACTCCAATCATATATTCATTTTCCCACTTTAACATTCCCCCTCAAGATTGACTTTGAAAGAATGAAAAAAGTCAATCTTGAATCGATAATGCTATAAACCGCTCAGACATTTTCATTGTCTCAGGAAAAATTCATAAACCAAAATTTGTTCTTTTAGAGAGCATTAATCATTTTCAAATCACTTCGCTTGACTTTAAAGTTCTAGCTTTAACTCTTTTTGTCATAGCATCTTGCTTGATCTTAGAGTTTTTAGCTTTGACTTTTGTTTGTCATAGCACATCGTTTGAATTTGAATTTTTACTCTCCTTCAAACGATTTGGATATATGAACATCCAAAACGCTAAAGAAAGAAGAGATTAGAAAAAAAAAACATATAGTCCAGATCGCAACACTGCTCTGATACCATGTAGAAAAATAAAATGCGGAAATAAAATAAGACAAATAGAAAGAAACGAAATTACTTTTATTGCTACATCTCTTCTTCTTCTGGTTACATTATAATGAAAATGAACTACATATTTATAGGAAAATTAAGAAATAGAGTAAAAAGGAAATATAGACACAATGGAAACAAATCAGATACACAATATTTGGTATAATGATATTGTATCCATTATTATTCTCCATCATATCTCTAATCTTATTTTACTCCAATCATATATTCATTTTCCCACTTTAACATTCCCTACCATTTAATTAACAAAAAATGACCCGTCCATTTTGTGAATATTGAATTTATATAAACCCTAAAGTCATACATCCCCACATATTTTATAATTATTATTTTTAAAAAATAAAATAAGACAAAATGATTGATATAAGAATAAGGAAAGAAAATCACATTGTCTCTCTCTCAACCTAACTCGCCTCATTTCGGCTCTGTTCTCATTTTCGCCTTCCTTTGGAAAATATGGCGGACTTAAGCTTCTATGTCGGAGTCATAGGTAACACATATTTCCCTGTATCCGTCGTGCATGTGTGTGTGTATATACGCGGCTTTGTGTGTATATATATGTATATATATACACATATATATGTAAGAAAGTTTCTCAACATATATTTCAGAGAAAAATGCAAGTGTCTTATATATACATAATCCTCTATACACGGATAAACATGTATATGTATATGCGTGTATAAGCGCACATATTTCAGGTGTTTGAATCTAAATCATCAATTAAAATTCCTGAAATCTAATATGATTGCCTGTATTTGGACTTCATCTTAATGCAGGAAATGTGATTTCGATCTTAGTGTTCCTCTCTCCCGTGTAAGTTTCTCTCTCTCCCTCTATATATATATATAGATACATATACATATACATATATGTGTATTTCGGCGGATATAAAATAATAAAATCATTTTGGGTGGAGAATTTTGAAGGGAGACGTTCTGGAGAATAGTGAGGAGGAGGACGACGGAGGAGTACAGGAGCTTGCCGTACGTGTGCACGCTGTTGGGTTCGTCGCTTTGGACATACTACGGGATAGTGACGCCGGGCGAATATCTCGTCGCCACCGTCAACGGCTTTGGTGCGATTGTCGAACTCTTCTACGTCTCCCTTTTCCTCCTCTTTGTCCCTCCTCCTTACAAGGTCTGTCTTGTCTGTATCTTCTTTTATATATATATATATATATATATATATATATATATATATATATGGGGTAAACATTTTGGTTTTCGGTTCGGTTTTATTCGAATTTTTTCGGTTTTAGAAAATCCATATCTGTTCGTTTTTTTATGTTATATTGGTTCGATTCAATTTCGGTTTGAACATGATTTTTATGATAAAAATGGTTATTTAAAAAAATACGATTTTTTTTACAAAAAAAAATACGATTTTTTCTATTGTTTTTATATTTGATTTGAGTTTGATTTTTTTTTTGGTTGCAAAAATATGATAACCATTCACTTTTTATATGGGGTTTGTTTGATTATGATTACATGTTATTCGGTTCATATAGGTTTGATTTATGAATAACCGAACCTAATATGTATTCTAATATATATATATATATATATACACATAATGTATGTACATAGATAGAACTACAAGTAACTATGAAAAGATGGAATATACAAGCAGCTAGACAGGGGCGGATCCACTTGAAGATGAATGGGGACACTGTTGTGGATCTCATTGTTGTGAATTTTGAGTGTATCTTAAAACGTTATCTAACAAATCAAATAAAAAAATCTATATCTCCTATATTTTTTCCTTTTTTCTTCTTATTTTCCATTTTTAAAATTTTCTTTTTCTTTTTAATTAAAAAAATTATATCATATATTTTATTAATTTTTTTGTATTATATATATTTTTTTTTATTTTTTTGCCCCCGTTACAAAATTCTTCTGGATCCGCCACTCGCTAGAAGGACAAAGTGGTGATTTAGAGGGAGAGATTCTTCTAATCGTTAAAGAAAATATAAATTTATCTTTAATTTGTTATAGAAACTATATAATATATATTCGTTCATGAGTAGCTGTAAACTCAGGGCTTAAATGCTACATTTATAAATACAGGTCCGTATACTTTTTGATAATTAATGGGCATCTGAAGAAGGAGCATAGCTCAGATTTGGATCTGATTATAGCACATTCTTAATTATTCCGATTAGGGCTAATTAATTTGATTAGTTAATGCAACTTGTTGTTACACGATGCTAGGATGACGTGCACGTCACTTTTTTTTACATGTACAATGTATATGTCATATATATATATATGCGTAATCAGATTTTAATATAATCTATATGAAAAAAAAATTAACAATTGAAGGATTTTTCTTCTTCTTGGGCAGTTGAACACGGCCTTGTTGGTCGGAATGTTGAACGTGTTTTTTCCAGCGACTGCGATTGCGGCCACGAGAACCGCGTTTAAAGACGAGAAAACGCGTTCTCATGCCATGGGATTCATTTGCGCCGGTCTCAACATCATCATGTATGCATCTCCTCTCTCCGCCATGGTATGTTTTATCACACACACACACACACTCATATATATATATATATATATATATATATATGATTATTTATTTTAAACTTATATTTAGTGATTGATTGGAAAGGTTGTGTCTCGTTATTAATATATATATATATATATATATATGATCCTCTTGGTGTTTTTTTAATTAATTGTGTATTGCTTCCAAGCGAAAGCTAAACCCATTTGCAATGAGATAGGACCAATATATTTTTTAAAATAAAATTATTTTCTTTATTAACGACAGGAACGTTACTATTTATTTACGTTTTTGTGTAATTGTGGACCTTATATTTTTTTTATCATATAATAAAACAAGCCAGGTATATATACAGATTGTTTTGAAACGTTCTTCACATACTTTGTTTTTCTTTGATGCTAAGATAATTAAGTTTTATTTATATTCGTTCTCATCCTATTACATCATTTCGTATCTCTAGTTATATATATATATATTGCAGGCTAACATCTTATTATAATATTAAAAGTATACATACATACATACATACATACATACATACATACATACATACATACATACATACATACATACATACATACATACATACATACATACATACATACATACATAATCACATACATACATACATACATACATACATACATACATACATACATACATACATACATACATACATACATACATACATACATACATACATACATACATACATACATACATACATACATACATAATCGAATGCTTGGCTACTTATCAGAGGTCGTTATCGTGTATAGAGATCCGATCATCAACCACCACAACAATTTCGGCACGTGCATATATATATATATATATACGGCCATTGATGAATATATCATTTTACAACCACCGAAGTTGACATAAAGGGTTCAACTTCAACCATATCATTATCAGATATTTACGTACAAGACAATAACGTCAAGATATGAATACAAACAATAGAAATAAATCAGTAGGATTGTCATTCATATATCACTATATCTAATATGCACCTCACAAAATTTTATTCCATGGCCCTTTCCAGCTATAACCTAGGTCCGTCCATGCAACGTTTTATTTATTTTTTTTGATCATTTGTTGGGGTTTAAATAAATAATTCAGAAAACGGTGGTGAAGACGAAGAGCGTACGGTACATGCCGTTTTGGCTGTCGTTTTTCCTCTTCTTAAACGGCGCGATTTGGGCCATCTACGCTTCCCTCCTACACGATGTTTTCCTCTTGGTAAGCTCTCTATACATATATATACATATATATATATATATATATATTATTTATAAAGATTTAACGTAAAATAATTTGTGAAGGTGCCGAATGGGGTGGGGTTTGTGCTGGGGACAATGCAGCTCATTCTTTATGGAATTTACAGAAATGCCAAACCCATCAACCGCACACAAAGCATTGATGGTTTAAGTGATATTCCCGAAGATGAAGAAGCCCCCTCTCCACGTCGCCCTCTCCTCTCCTGACCCGACCCGACCCGACCCGACCCATTTCTTATAAATTAAAAAATTCGAGTATTTAGTGTTTTTGTGATATTTTTTTTAATATATTGTCGCTTATAAATATCATGTCTATTTCTTTTTCTATTTTGTTGGGCTGGTCATCCATGCTCGCTTGTATGCCAAGTTTTTTCTCTCCCTATTTTGTGATCGTTTCTATGTTATTTTATTATGATTTTGTTAGTGTAACCATAAACTCACGCCAAGAGGAGTACGAATTAGGGCTGGACACAAATACCGAAAATTGGATATCCGTTACCTACTTATCTCGCGGATATCCGATTTTAGGATACTCGTAATTTTTAAATCCAAATCCAAATCCGAATTTTTCAATATCCGTGAATCCGAATCCAAATCCGGATAATAGAATTTTTAAAATCGGGTATCCGCAGATACCGACTAGTATGATTATAAATAATTATATCTTATATCTATATAATATTGTTATAAAATATAATTATTTTAGGTTAAATAATTTCACATTTTTTAATATTATCTAAAAAACTAAATTTATTATTATCTATCTCTTTTTATCTCATATTTTTATCGTAATTCATCTATTTTTATAAATATATCTTTATTTTTTGAAAATTTTATATATAAATATTGTTGTTTTTTTTTAAATAAATCCGAATCTAAATGTCCGTGAGTACTCAATCATTATTTCGAAAATCTGTATCCCGGATGTTCGTAAATCCCAAATTCTGAATACAAATCTTATAATTAAACACCCGAATTTTTCGGATCCAAATCCAAATATCCTAATTTTTCCCGGTACCTACCTTGCCACGCCTAGTATGAATGGTGTTTCTTGTTGTACGGACTGGCTTTGGGTCAAGTATTGGGCTAAAGAGTCGTATAATAATGTCTTCGGCCCATAATTGAAGCCCATGTTGGATGATTCTCTTGGCAAAGTATATTCATACAATGAAACAAACCCAGGCCATGACATACATTGGTAAAACTATCGTCCCAAGAGTCAGAATCTTCATATCCTAATCAGTAATAACCGCAAACGCTCATCTGTTACAAGGATGATGATGATCTTGAAGCAGAATCTTCATATCTGAATCGACCCAGATGATTACATTGATAACAAATTATCATCTTGAAGCGGCCTTAGTGTCTTGACATGACGATATTCATCATGCTCCAAGAGGTATGGTCGTGTCTGAATCAATCCACATGCGGACTTTCAGAGAACAAGACCCACAAGGAAGAACAACAGAGGCAGTTAACTCACCCGGTCTCCTAACGTGAACGCAGCCGTCGCCTCTTGACAACTCAAATCCCATCGTTTCTAGCTCGGATGAATCAACGGAGAAGTAATCGCCACATCGGCACTGGTAATAGAGCTCCAAGACCTCTCCTCCTTCTCCGCCATTCTCCACCGCCATATCCTCTATTCTGATCTCATCTGCAGTAACGCCATCTTCTTGTCTTGAAGACAGAAGATTGTAGTTGTAAACTGCACGCTGATTAGCGTCTCCAAGGATTTCCCATGCCTTTTGGATCTTCAGGAATCTGTCGTCTGACGACGTCTCGTGGGAATTGGTAAGTTTGTCGGGATGAGAATGTAGGATGGCAGATCGGTAGCTTGCCCGGATCTCCTCATAGCTTGCATCTTCTCTCACAGAGAGTATGTCGTAGTGAGTTTCGTGAAGAGGGTTTTCGCCAAGAAGCATGATTGTTGAATTGAATCCCCCCTTTACCAAAAAAAACATAAACATCAAATCAATCACTTGCTAGGAAGAATGGCAGATAGACAGATTCATACTATACACACTCCCAATACCAACATCATAAGAACTTTGTTTAACGTTTTCTGTAGCATTTATCTAAAACCACTGAGGAATTCACCCTTCTGAACTTAAACTGTATCTGTAATCAGAATTCAGTACTTCACCGCAACGAAATCTTAGATTACACAGCATTACATAGATCAAAATTTTAGATAGGTGGGATAAAGAAGATCAATCCGTGATGCAGAGAATGTAAATCCGTCTCAAACTATTGCCTGGAAATCAAAATTCCCACAAAACCCTATCGATTTCGAGCAAATTCAGATCTCACTTTTGCTCTCGACCGATTCCGATGAAATCGAATCTCGAGAAGAACCAGCGGAGATATAAGAGCTCCGAAATCTAAAAGACTAGTGGCGATCAAGGCCGGAGAGGCGGCAAAATGCCGGAACCGAAATTTACAGCGTTCGCGAGGAAGACGAAGGAAAGAGTAAGCCTACCGGAAACGCACAATGAAATTAAGCCACCGGAGAATTCGGCATCTGACGGCGGCGAATAGGAAAATATCGCCGGCGGGGGTAAGGCGGCAACGGGGGAGAAAACCAAATCGGTGAACAGCAACCCAAACTCGACTCAACTCAAACACCATTATTACATTACTTCGCGTTTTTATAGTTGGGCCCAGAGGTTTCCATTATTACAAAATCGTATGACATTTACGACAAATTTCCTTTTTATCCCAAAGTTTTTAATATGGCTTGCATACTTCTTTTGCTGAGGGATAACCATTTCGTGTTCAATCCGATTTTGGTTATATTTGAATTGGATTATTTTAGGTTTTAAAAAAATTACGATAATTCAATTCTTATATCGAATTTGAATAATTCTATTTTGATTTAAATTTGATTTTTATTATTAAAAATATCTATTTTCATATGAATTTTTATTTTTTTTGGATTATTTTTATTCATTCCGAATTCAATTTTTTTTGGGATAATTCCATTTAAAACCCTATACTTTTCTCTCGTCGCAATTTAAACCATGTACTTTTTTTTTTATCCAAAAAAACATTGTACTTTTAAAAATTGGCAAATAAAACCCTGAACGAAAAAATATATTATTTAATGCTGACATGGCATCCTAGTCATCTGCAACATCATCAATCCCTAATATTTAATAATATTAATTAATGCAAAATAAAAATAAAATAATAAAAATAAAAATAAAATTTTAAAAATTATACACATACATATATAATGAAATGATATATATATATACACATATATAAACATATTTATATATATACACACATATATATAATACATATATTTTGGATCAAAAAAAAGTATATAGTTTAAATTGAGACGAGAGAAAAGTAAAGGGTTTTAAATGAAATTATCTCTAAAACATATAATAATTATACACATATATAGATATATATGTATCATATGTATATATATGTATATATGTATATATAAATATATTTATATATGTATATAATTTTAAAATTTTTATAAACATATTTATATATGTGTATAATTTTATGAATATATATAATTTTTAAATTTTTATTTTTATTATTATTATTTTATTTTTATTTTTTATTAATTAATATTATTAAATATTAGGGATTGATGATGTGGCAGATGACTAGGATGCCATGTCAGCATTAAATAATATTGTTTTTCGTTCAGGGTTTTATTTGCCAATTTTTAAAAGTATAGAGTTTTAATTGCCAATTTTTAGAAGTACAATGTTTTTTTGGATCAAAAAAAAGTATAGGGTTTAAATTGAGACGAGAGAAAAGTACAGGGTTTTAAATGGAATTATCCCATTTTTTTTTATTTAAAAAAAAAACACAATTACTGGATTGCAATGATTCGAATCGAATCGATTCAATTATATAAATATATTAACCAAATTATAGAAATGCTTCAATTTGAAGTTGTAGTATTTTAGAATAAGATAATTTGACTTTATCTAACAGGACAGGAGTAGAGATCCAAAAGCTTTCATTTGTTGTTGGGATCGACACAAGCCAAACCCAAAGCTAAAAAAAAAAAATAAAAAAAAAATCCAATAACAAAAAAAAAAAACTATTGTTATAAGTTGTATATGAACTCCTACAACATCAAACATTCACTGGCCTTATCCTCCGTGGCTTTTTTTACCCTTTTTGCTTTGAAGCTGAAAGCATCACTACCCCAATACCCAAAAAAAAAAAAAAAAAAAATCTTCAAATGCAGCTTCAGTCGGCTCGCAGTCTAAGAATTTCCTTTGCGGTTCTCAACCTGAAATATGGCATGTGCTCCTGCAAGGATTGAACAAACATATATATAAAAAAACAAAACATTCATATGCTTATATCCCTTTGGTTGATATAACCAAGAGCTTAAAATGTGAGAATTTCAATGTTTTGACTATGAGTTACCTGTCTGAAATGCAGTCCGAGACCTCGACTGTAGAAATCTATGTACTTGAGCATAAACATCCCACAGTCGTATCTGAGCCAAGAATACATTCATTCATCAACCAACAGATAGATACTCAAAGCATATGAACATTGAAAACCTCCAAGAAATATCACTATTAGCTGTGCTTGATTGATTGGTGGACAGATCAAAGGTTTTTGGCTATTCCTTTCCCAAGTATGCTGCTCCTTTCATAAAATCAAGACAACATTTTTCTCTTTCATAGTTCCAACACTGGGCTTTACCCTGCCTCATAAAACCAAACAGTTTTCGAAACCAGAAAGAGTTTGAATGATCCTACACTACACGATAAAATCGCACAATAGTTACGTACCCATTATGCTGCTGAGGAAGATCCTCCACAAATTCCATTTCCCAGGAACTAACGTCGACGTCTTTCCCCCTCTTGTCTTTCGCTTCGTCCACCAAGTACTTAGCCTGAACCACATATTGGTCTCCGAGTGTCAGTAAGAACAACTAGGCAAGAGTTGTTTCATCAAGAAGCATATAAAGATACGACTAAACACCGTCATTCCAGAGCAACCGCCAGAGACATGAGATACAATAAATCGATTTCAATTCAGAAACAGTTTCCTATATTTGCTGGTTCACTTCTATGGGTAGTTATGATGATCAAACAATTGGCTGTACTTCAAAAGGACAGAAGGATGAAGGTGGTCAATCCTCTGGATCAAGTTCCCCCCCCCCTGATACCTTAGCCGAGACAGAGAGCGGATATTTTACCAGTGCATTCAAAATTATGGGATCGATTCCATTTAGCGAATCGAGATACTGAAACTTGCGGTCTCGATTATTAATAATTGCCAAGGTCCAATGCACACCTCGGTGAATGGGAACAAATATCTGCACAGAGAAAAGGCTGGTTCAAACGTAAATAAACTGGACTAAATTCATTAACTTGAATAACTTCACAAAGAATAAACAAAAATGCAAGAGTCTGAAAAGCTTACCTTGTCACAATCAATGAGGCAATATCCCAACTTCCTCTGTGTAGTCCATCTCCTCACAGCTTTGTAATTGTAACCAGCATTGCTTACTAGCTGGACAATTTCAATTAGAAGAAAATAAGGTTATCAGAAATCCATAGGAGTCATAAATGTGTATAAATGAATCACAAGTTTTTGGTATTAAGAGTGACTCATTGGATTCAGATGCCTAGACTATTGTGCATTTCGGGAGGAAAGAGAATGGAAAATAAGAACACTGTGGCCGCAACGATTTAATACTTTTATCCAAAAACATTTCAAGTGTATAAAAAAAGAAAATATATATCTTAAAGCACACCACTTTATGTATTTACTACCAGAGGCAACCGAAAGTACGAGATGAGACAAGGCAACAGAGATCCAGACCTGTTTAAAGCAAGGGAGCAGAGAAGAAAGCAAACCTTCTTGTAAAAAAATGTACTGAAGAAATGACATTTCAAAAACTTTCGAGGCTCTCTAGTTTCTCTTTCTTTTAGCAATTCAAGATAGACGTTGATGACCTACAAAACACATTATTAGTAAATCAGAAAATACACATGATCTACAACACTAAATATTTAACAGAACATGATGGACGATAAATGATGGAGGACTACCTCATCGTTCAACCATGAAGTCGGTGTAAGGCACTGTAGAACTTCTCCGGTGATGTCAATATTGGAGTTTTCATGAGTAACCAAGACCTTCCTTCTGAAGAAAATAGACACTTTCAATCAAAATTCCTAAATCACTCAAAACAAGCAACAGGCTAGAGTAGAGCTTCTTAACTGACGTACCGATTTCTAGTAGAGAAAGCACGTTGGACTTCTAATTCTTCCTCATCAGTAAGAGGTATAAATGGTTCACGAGGCACCTTCAGAGAATCAATACAAAACAGAAGAAGCATGACAACGTCAATAATAAGAACATGAGATAACTTTGTAACAATATGCTTTACAGACAGAAGCCATGGCGATAAGAACATGAAAACAAAACATGTAATATATAATCATCATCATCATCAACGATACGCTAAAACTAGGGGTGCGGGGCTATAAGCTGAGATCACATCCAAATGGCAGTCAAGGCAAAAGAATATTGCATTGACAATTTAAAAGATAATAACAAAATCCTGTATTTCAGCCACACTATGCCAAGGCAACAAATACAGAACTCCAAATTTTCAATTGTAAAGTCAATAACAGTTGGTAAAACACACGCATTTAGAGAAGGAATCCAAAGAAAAACCGATACAGGGAAAATTTCCAGTAAGAAGAGTAGGAATCACCTCAACAGCCTTTTCCGCTGGCTTTTTCAGAGAATGTGACTCACGTAGGTGAGACAACCGCTTTTCATTTAACACAATCTCGAAACTTAGTGCTTCCAACTTCGATTTCCGCCTCTCTACGCTCTCCAGAAGCTTTTTGTATGCTTCAAGGCCTGAAGAATCCTCCACTTCTCGATTCAAAGACAGTGAATCCAACATCTTGCCAGCATCATCTATTCTCAGGTTGTTACCATTGTCAACATCAGTAATGCCCGAAGAAGAAGACAGCTTAACATTCGTCTCCTCCAACAATTTTTCCCTACCAACTTCAACCACTTCAACTTCTTCGGTGTTTGAATCTTCGGAAATTGCATCCTTTTCAGATTCATCGTCCAAATCCACCACTTCCTTATCCTTTTTATAATACCTCAATGCATCCAGTGCGGTTTTCTTTGCATCATCATACTTGCGCCGGAAAACACTGCCCGTTTCACGATCAATCTGGTCTTTCTCACAGAAATCATTAGATTTCACCTTTCTTTCTTGTACTGAAGATCGACCCAACAATCCGAATCTGAGAAATCCTCTGCTAGGGGCGTGAACCTCTCGCTTAAAGGGGGCTTTCGCGTCAGGGTACCTGGACATTCTCGAGACTGTAATGTTTGAAGAAGGAACTGGCTTGTCCGAATTTGCCTGTATACCAAAGGAGAATCTCCGTTTCTTCGAGGTGTGAAAATATGATGACGGGATCGTCGTTTGGTGATTCAAGCTCCAGCATTCGTCGCTTCGCTTGCGGTTACTCGCTAAGGCAACCATCTGCAATCGAATTCGGCTCAAACAGGAAAACTAACAAACCCTAGAAACAGGGAAATCCACGGAAGAAGAACCATAACAAGGCAAATCCCAGGACACCGAATTAGGGTTTTGCAGAAGCCCCAGGAATCAGAGCGAACGTCAACAACGCAATAAACGATAGAAATGTACCCTGAAAACAATCGAAAACAAAGTAAAAAAACCGAACAGGAAATTCTGGGGGACAAATACGAAACTTTTTGCAGAAGAGAGGACAATAAGAGTTCCCGCCTTGGAGAAAAATCATTACCTATGCACGTAAAACTTGGAGATTTTCTGACCTCCGGAATCCTCCGATCTATGAAGCTGAAGATTAACAAGATACCAAACAATCAAATTCCGAGCTGTTTCTCTCACTTTTTTTTCTCGGAAAGAGAAGGATTTTCTATTTCGTGTTTGGGGGAGTGGGAAAATTAATTTTCTTTCCGCCTTCTCTTTTGGAAAGAAGCTTTAAGGCAGCAGACTCGCACTTCCATATGGTGTGCCAAAAACAATTAAATGAAAAAACGGTTGCGTAAAAAATATATTATTTTACACCATGGTGTACATATACATATATATATATATATATATATTGTACATGTTCTCGTAGAGATTATATATAACAATTTTCTCAATCTATTAGATGACAAGGTGACAACAAAAATTAACAAAGATTGAAGTGTAAATAAATAAATAAAAATTAAAGGGTTTATAGTTATCGAAACTATGATGAATACAATCTGCCAATGTGAAGAATATAGCTAATCTAACACCTCAAATACATAAATTTACAAAGACAAACAAGAACACAGAGATGAAACTCGCGGCTTATAACAGCGTTTGGACAAATCTATGATCTCTCTTCCGACACCTGAGGAGCTGCTGTTCTGTTCCTCTTCTTTTGGCTGCTTCCTGTTCTTGACTTGCTATTAATAATGCCGCCGTGCCTTCCTTTCCTTGGTGCTTCCGATTCAACAGACTCCTTCAGCTTCTCTAGAGCTGAATGATTTATATCAGAACGAAAAGGATGATTATTAGGGATTTTTCTGTTTTCGGTTTCATGGTGGTTTTGATGTTGATGTCTATTAAAACCCGTTTCTTTTATTACCAAAGCCAATGATCGAATCCTGTAGAACTAAATACAGGGTCTAAATCCGAAAACCTACAGCTAAAAACCATTGACCACTCTGGTTCTAAACCTAAAACTCAAACAATGGACTTTGGATTCATTAGAGATCAAACGTATGGAAATGGCTGAGAAATTATTACCGGGTGCGAAAGTAGCACGGATATCGTCGATTGAACTGGACGGGATTGAATAGTCTGGACAAGAATCATTCCCAGCTTTCTTCAGAATCTTCTTGAAACGACTCACCTGAAAACATATCCAATAGACCACATGAAACTGATTTCTTCAAAGTCATGAACTTGGGCACATAAAAAAATCTAAAGAACCAAATAAACAGCTTGAGAAAAGTCCTAAATGATTATCCTAGGGATCTCCCTCTAGCCTGTGTTGATAAGATCAAGAACAGATTCACACTCGAGGGGGAAAAAAGAAATGGCAGAAGAAAACATGAATTTATTCTCACCTCGCGCTTATCTAGCAATGTGAAGCAGCGGCCAGACTGTCCTGCTCTGGCAGTCCGTCCAGCACGATGAATGAAGGTCTTAGCAAAGGGGGGCATATCATAGTTAATGACATTCTTCACCCCTTCAACATCCATCCCACGTGTAAAAGCATCGGAGGCAACAAGCACCTGTATATCGCCTTTCCTGAAGGCCTTTAGTTCCTTGCTGCAGTAATAGTGGGTCAGTAAAGTAAGTTTGGTATTAAGCATCAAAGACATGATGATGATGAGTGGTGGCTAGTAGAGTATAAAACCGAAAATATATCACCTTCGAACTGATTGGTTCAGACCACCAGAGTATTCTTTCGCTTTTATTTTTGAGTCACCGAAAAAGTTGAGTAACTTGCATAGCCGGCGAGTAGTCTCTACAGAGGATGTGAAAATGATGCACTTTTCACCTTCCCATGTTTTTAGAAGAGCCACCAAATATACTGGCTTGAGCTCAGTTTCACAAATCTGTTAAAAGGCATGGAGGAAGGTGAGCTTTAACAACAGAGTTCTTCAGTGCCACAGACAATTCTGTTTTTAGATAGAAATTTGAAGCGGATAGAAGTCACTCCATTTTCCAGTATTTTCAACATTTCCCAGTAGCAACAAGGGTTATAGAGTGAACAAATGCATTACCAATTTGTAGCATTCCAGCTTCTCTGGAAGTTTATATCGGCTTTCTCCAGTTGTCAAGAACAAGGGATGATGCAGGTCAAGCTGAATTAGCTTGCTTGGATCTTGCGTTAATGTGGCTGACAATACAATCTTCACAAGCCTTGGGAATGGTTTACCCTTGAATCCTCTCGCTATACTTCTGAAAATTTGAAGCAAGCATTTTCACCAAATACACAACAGATGTTAAAAGATTTTTAGATGGTTCCGTGTATAACATTTCCATTTGCTCTTATCACATCACAATGTGAAAAGTACTAGAACAAAAGGAAGAAACAAAAATCAAAAGTAGTTTTTGATGGAACTCACTGCCTATGGAACGTTCTCAAATAACCAAAAGAGGAAGGTGATGCTGCGGAAGTTGGAAACGGGTTCTCATCGGAACTCTGAGTAAGTTTAAGGACAGCAGGTAGCCAGGATTGATATGCCTCCCTGAGCAATCTGTCAGTTTCATCAACAACCTGGAACAGTACGAGTCATCAATCATGTTGCTGTGTGTGTAATGGAGTAAAAAAAAGAGACAAAAATTTGGATATTCTTCGTACAAGGTAACGCAAATGCTCAAGGGTGAAGCCCTTGGTGTTGTGGATATGGTCCATCAGCCTTCCTGGTGTTGCCACTAATATGTCCACTGCACTTTCAAGACTCTGTGATGAATCCTCAAAGTCATAGCAAATTCCAGCTTCAAGTTTAGGCTTTTTAATGAGCTGTGAAATCTCGGTAGCAATTGAAGATTGACCCACAGCTGAACCAACAGATAAGCCCACAGCTGGTGCTATAGCATTGAACACATCCTTAACCTAAACCCAGGATGGTCAACAAGGAAGATTTCAGTACGATGTGCTCGAGAAATCAAGTAGTGCCCACAAAATAATGAATCTAGTGCATGAAAACTGGCGGATCAGAGGTTCTTGTTTGACAGAGGAGGTACCCACCTGCAAGGCCAAATCACGAGTAGGCAATACAACTAAGGCCCGGAGACATCTCACTGGACGAGATGCTAGCATCTGCACAATAGGTAAAGCATAAGCCAATGTCTTCCCGCTTCCTGTAGGTGAGTTAACACATATGTCTCTTTCAAAACCACCTGGCCCCAGTGTCTCGTGCCAGACCGCAACTTGCACAGGAAAAAGCGAAGAGATTCCCATGTTCGTCAATGCCTTATTCAACCTATCACATTGGAAAAGTATCGCTTATTTCTACGAGAGATCAAACAATCACCCAGAACCAAAATACACCAAGAAAACCTACGATACATGTGATACGTATCCTCTGTTACCTGGTAAAGAGTACACCGCACATTACTAAAACTCAGTATAGTAAAATGTACCCATCAAACATGAAACAGGGCATATCTATATACACGCTAACATGCCTATACTAGAAGGCAGTTTGAAAACTTGCGACTCTCAAATATTCTTTTCAAGTTTTTACCCACTAAGAAGACAACATAAGACACTGTAACACCAAAGAACTACGTAAAACTTGATCCAAACAACAAACTCTCAGCCTAAAGTCGGAAACTTTCAGCACGATAAATGATGGAGGACTACCTCATCGTTCAACCATGAAGTCGGTGTAAGGCACTGTAGAACTTCTCCGGTGATGTCAATATTGGAGTTTTCATGAGTAACCAAGACCTTCCTTCTGAAGAAAATAGACACTTTCAATCAAAATTCCTAAATCACTCAAAACAAGCAACAGGCTAGAGTAGAGCTTCTTAACTGACGTTATATACATTGAATCAAAATCATCTGCCAGAGAAGTGCAGTTGTAATGTTACCTCGGGTCAAGGGAAGGGAGGGTGTCGAGATTGCAGCTTTCGATGCAACTTACGTCGACCGGAGCTCGCATCCATGGAACCACCGCATTTGGTTTTAAAAATTGTTTCTGAGGCGAGTCTGAAGCTTTCGGGTTCATACTCGAATACTCTCTGAGATATATAACAAGATGAGGAAAACAAGTTTATGGAATTTTCAAGAATTTTCTGTAATCTTTGGGAAACCTCTAAATCTGATTCAAGTTGAATTACCAAACAGAATCAATCAATGCACTCATGAAGTTGAACCCTAGTGGTCGAAACTTTTCACAAAGCCAAAACAGGAACATCAGACAGAAGGAGAAATGAAACACACAAAACTTTCGATGCCACTCTCACATGAATTGAAAACGATGAATTCACCCAAATTTTCACCACCTATAAATTCTGTTCAAAACAAGATAATTTGTCACCAAAAGCTACATTCTTAGAACGCCATGAGATCCATAATCCGAGAAAACATAAACCAATACCAAGTATACTGATTTCGTTAAATGTATTCCTCACTTGGAAGACAAATCTTCCAGGTCGATAACTTAAAATTATACTTTCAGGCATTCTCATCCATCAATGACAGCGTCTGAACTCGACAAGAGCCGACATGCTCATCGTTAACCCACAAATCGACATGTACGATAAACCAAAAAAATCAAAATTCAGACACCCAGATCGTACTGTCGACTCACCGATACAGACGTTCATTGCTCAATCAAGTAACGAAAACAAGAACGGACAACAGAAAACTCAGGCAATTAGCCATTAAAAGAGAAATCATAAGAACAAGTTGGGAACTTACCCGAGATTATAAGAGAGGGCGGAGAAGATGGAGAACGGCGACGCCGACGAGCAGATCCAGTGGTGGGTTTAGGGTTTAATCGCTTAGTCCTCTGCCTTTTTTTTTGTCGTTGCTTTTTTTTCCAGTTTACACAGCGAGTGAATACTATTACGGTATTACCCTTGTCTACGTGGCGGACTTTTTCTTTTTTGAGAAGTTTTTAATTACATTTAAGCCCCTAAACTTTTATATATATATATTTTCTTCTACTATTGCCGGGGAGCCATTTGTCTCTACCCCCCGTCCGTCGTCTCCTCGTTACTCTGCTGAATTCAAATTCTTCGTTGTTCGATCAGACGAAAAGCCCTAAAATGGTATATCTCTGCTTCTCTCAACCTTCATCAGTTGTTTGTTTTCTCTGAAATTACTGTTATTTCTTCTTCATTTCATTCGAATTCATGTTATCGTGTTTGGTTCCATTTCTGGGGCTTCGGACCTATCGCCAAACATATGCGAAATCTGCGGATTTTCGGTTGAATTTTGGGTTAGGTTTCGGAATTTTTTTTATTTGAATGTGTACTATTCAGTAGCATGTATGTATGGATCTTTGAATTAGATTTAGGATCGTTGTTTTGCTACATAGATTTATTTTGAAAGTTTGAGTTTTTTAGGCTTTGTTCTAGAGTAAACCCAGTGTCAGTAACCTCGAGATCTGATTGAGTTTCCAGTTGAATCTCTTGCCTATTTTTGAAACTGGTTTCCCCTTTGTTGAATTTGGTTGATGAAACCTTCTCGTTGAGATATCCAAGTGTCTGGTTCATAGAATAATATATGGGAACTGAGATAGTGTAGCAAGCATTATGTGTCTGCAATCTTGGTGCTTGCTTATAGGGAAGAACATTGAAGTGTTCTTATGATTTGGTTCTTTTTGCCTTAAATGGATTTCTTCATGTAAGATAGTAAATCTCACCATTCCGAAGTATGCATCCATGTCGATAGTGCTATGGAGTTATGTTGGGCACGACATTTTTCGTGTTTTTTTTGTCCACAAGTTACTGCTTTTTCTTCTTCTTTCTGATAGGATGGACACGATTCCGAGGATCCTAAGCAAAGCACTGCCGATATGACTGCATTTGTGAGTACCCCCCCCCCCC